CCATTTGGTTATGATAGATTTGATGGTGCTCCTAGGGATCATCAAAGATTTTGATTTGTTTTTATAACCTAACCTTGACTTGCACTGCTCAACAACACTGTTCCAGTACTTGTTTGGAGAGTTCCTTGGTCTTCATGGCAGTGTTTTGTTAGTGGTGCCTCTTTCTTAGGTGTTGCAGCCTCTGAGGCCTTTCAAAAAAGGTGTGTATATGTGCTGACAGATCATGTGACACTTAAGATTGCACACAGGTAGACATCATTTCACTAATTATGTGACTTCTGAAGGTAATTGGTTGCACCAGAGCTTTTTATGGGCTTCATAACAAAGGGGTTGAATACATATGCACATGCTAATTTCCAGTTTTTTATTTCTGAAAAATAGTTTTATGTATATATTATTCTCAATTCACTTCACCAACTTAGACTATTGTTTCACATGACATTCAGATTAAAAAAACATTGAACTAAAGGTTGTAATGTAAGAAAATAGGTAAAAATCCAGTAAGTAAAAAGGGGTGAATACTTTCGCAAGGCACTGAATTATATTTGAATTTCGAACTTTGAAGTCAAAGCCCTAGTAACAAGTTGGTTGGAATTTAGTTATTTGTTTGAAAGTTATGTACCCCAGCTTTAATACCGGCATAAAGTGTGGGAAAATGCTATGAAAAGTCAAAATGCAGAGGGGGCGGGCCCAGAGGATGCTTCAGAATCAGACACAAACAGCAGGATGATGTGGTGGGAATGTAGCGGACAGTTGAGGAAGACACACTGACCCCAGTATTCCACAAGCTCCAGCCCTGTCCAGATGCCTCATTCACACACGGATGTCAAGCCTCCGCGAAGGAAACCGGGTCGGATTCATGTGGGAAGTCATATAATACGTGGGATAAAATCAGTGGCTGCTGTTCGTCTAGTCAAAACAACACGTCTGAGGAGTGGAGAGAGTTTAGGGCCAGTTACGTGACCGGAAAGGGGCCTGGCGCAGACACATAAACGGCAAGCATTCAAGCTAAATATTACGTCTATAAAACATGACCCAAATATTGTGTCTGCACGAGGGATATTTTCCGTCCAGTCTCAACCCAAGATATTACAGATTTACAGGCAGATTTGAAGACGTTCCAATTATTATGTTCCATCCAAAAAACACTAACACAATCCTTTGACAGATTTAGTGCGAGCAATTTTGCCTAAATATGATGTCTGATTCCACCTTCAGCCGAACTTATACAAGGAAACAACGGCTGCTTTCTTAATCTTTTCATATCAGCCAAACTTCACACTAAAAACATTAATAATCATTAAATGGTCAGATATCTAATTATAAAATAATCAGTTTTATATAGTGCTTTTCTGGACACTCAAAGACGCTTCAAATGTGTAAATTTCTCCATTGTGAGATCAATAAAGTTCATCTAATCTTATCTGTCTGTATTATTTCACTCCATACACAGTGGTGATAAATTACTAAAGTAGCCACAGATGCCCTGGGGCACACTGACAGAAGAGAAGCAACCAGTATGTGCCATCAGCCCCTCCAACCATCACCAAACTCACAGCATTGTGGCACCTGGTGTTCCCACAAGTCTCCCATCACGGTACTAACCAGTCCCGGCTCTGCATAGCTTCAGAGGTCTGACAGAATCTGGCTTTCGCATGGCCACTATATTTGAAGATAGGTTTGGTAATTGCTTGAATGATGATAGGATGTTGTATTTCTATCAAGGATGCAGCCAAAATACATGTTCCCAGAAAGCATGGGGTTTTAGGTTTAAAGTTCTAAATGGAAATATACAACTTAGCTAGTTTGACTCAACAAATCAAACTGTGCCTTTGTGTTCCACCAGCATTATAAATGTGGAAGCACAGCAACTACTATTTCAATGAATGTGCAATGATCAAAGTACAAAGAATAAACTGTTCTAGGTCTGAGCAACCAACCAAATTAATCTGATTAATCAGGTTTTCTGTATAAATCGAGTTCTGTCTCCGTTTCTCTTAGCCTGATCGTACCACACCATAGTACAAATGACATTTCGTACTAAGGTGGTACTGAGGTGCTCCATTGAGTTGTGTTTTCAGGTGGGAGGGGTTAACTCCTTTTGCAGATTGAAATTATTGGATCTGTAAGTAATGCGCCCGAGTCTGTTGTTAGCATTTAGCCTAGCCATCTCCTTTGCCACTAACGGAGCCCGTGGGGAGTAGCGCCACAATTTTTTCCAGCGATTACATTTGCTAAACATTACCCTTGCTCCGGCTTCAATTTCTTGATAGAACCAGACCGGATTACTTTACTATCGCACTTTCCCCATTACCAAACCACAAACTGCCTGTTCAACGCAAACTCTTGACATCACCCACAACTAACTACAACACCCACCTCCCACGCTCGCTGATTTGTCGGTTGAAATTCAACCGATTGTATTCGCTAACCCAGGGACCAGACCCAGACGTTACATGCAGGGAAATGATGATTGAGCGGAGTGTATGGATGGCTAAGGCCAACGTTTCTCTGGGCGTCTGTAGTTTCACCAACAGGACTCACCACAAACAGCGTCTTTATAGAAAGGACTCAATGTGTGATATATTTGTGATGCCGGTGCATGTACCTCACTTTGCTTACAGTAGGTCCCATTTTGTTTTGTCGTCTTCATTCACGCTTTTCATGAATCACGCAGCTGCGTGAAACATATTACATCCTATTGCCACTAGGTGGCAGGTTAAGTCCGCTTTAGCTCTGCCAGCGACTTAAACGCTCAGGTATAAAGCCTAGTTTATACTCGCGCGGCGCGGAGCTTACGGAGGTGACGTGACGTCACTTGCGCAACGCGTTGGTCACCGCAAGGCCCTTACGTTGCCTGCCCTGCAGCATCGAAATTTTCTAACTACGTAAGGGTCGCCGCAAGGAAGCTCCGCTGTGATTGGTCCGTGTGTGTGTATTGGAAGGAAGCACAGAGCGGCTGCAGCAGGGACATGGACGAGGCACTATGGAGCAGAGAGCTTTGTGCTTCGAAGGAAAAGCAGTTTGGGCTCAGAGCCTGATAAACAGGAGACTGTGGACTATCTAACATATATATAACTTATATCTAACATATATATAACTTATAAACTGTGCAGTCGTTTGTTTTGCACTGTTCCTGTCTTTGTTTGAATCGTAGCTGCGTTTGTTGCTTTCCTCCTGCACTCGTAAATCGTTCATCTCAGATATTTACCACTATTATTGTTTTGCTGTTTGTGCTGAAAACTATTTAATAATAACTATGTTTCCAACAAGAACTGTGTCTTTATTCACAGAATCACAGTTGAAATGACTTATAAAATAATGAATCCATAAAACTATCACACAAACCTGCAGTAGAAACACATGTAATGAGCTCAAACAGCTTTGTTTGCTAATGTTGTTCTGAAGAGGACAAAGTAGCAGCGTAAATGGGACCGCTCCTGTGTGATCGCCCTCATGTGGTTTGTTGTGGGATTACAACATTCTCCTCAAAACTCCGTAAGGGGAACGCGCCAGTATAACATCTATTGTGCTTACGTAGGTCCACCGCAACCGCTAACGTAAGCCACGCCGCGCAAGTATACTCTAGGCTTAACATCAATTGTGCTTACGTAGGTCCACCGCAACCGCTAACGTAAGCCACGCCGCGCAAGTATACTCTAGGCTTGAGTCTCGTGTGATTCACGCGTGAAAGGCGACAAAACGAAATGGGACCTACTGTACATCTGTTTGAGATGTAAAAAATTGATCGAAAATGGATTTGAAACTTAAATATTGTAAGAACCAATTTACAATCAGAAAACCACACTAGCCTCTTTCATTAAAAAGTGGTTTTTGAATTTAATTCAGTTTGTGATCACTCTAATGTACGCTAGTCCTCAACCTCATTATAGTATACAACTTGTGCACTCTTTTAAAACAAATATTTTTACGGATCAACAACCTGAATTTCATTTCTTACATTGGATTGCCTCACCGCTGCGCAGATATGACCCATAACATAGCAAAGTGAGATGATGTGATGCCTCCAAAGTAGATGAAAAGGTTGAATACTGTGGCACATTACAGCAACACAACACCATTCAGATGGCAGACCCTCCATCCAGGATCAAATCTTTTTCATATGTGTAATGTAGTTAGAAAAAGATGGGCCAAAAATACTGAATTTCATAGATTTGGTTTTAAATAAGTTATTATTGTCTCTAAGTTATTGTTATATCAATCTATATTAGAAGGAAAAGTCAATTTAGTGATATAGTGACAAGCCTCAATAATATGCTTACTTAGAATTATACAATTTCAATTCCATATGAAAACATTAAGGATTAAGGATTTATGAGAAGGGGAGGGGCAGCAATTCTAACCAGATTGATGAGACCCACAGGAAAAACAGAGATAAGTAAGACGCCAATTGTCACATCTGGTGTCAGTGTATCATCCAAAACGAGTTAAGTAGAAAGATCTGCACAACTAAAACTGGTGCATGGGAACAACAGGAGGATGAGCATGCAAATCCATCATGTACATACGAATGTTGGCTGGGGGGAGAATGGACCAACAATTGTGGTGCTGCCCAAGGCCATAGACTGTAAATGCCCCATGGATCCCCCCCAGGCTGAGGCTGATGTCATTAGCACCGGTGAGATGAGTGTGATGTGACAGGGCTTTCAGAGGAGTCTGTGTGGATGACAATGAAGTCCACAGACAAACACCACACACACAATGCAAACCACAAAGCTCTCAAATGAACTGTGCAATGTGGATTATACAGTTTTGTATGGTGTTAGGTAGACTTTATCGTGTGGAATGTGAGGCAAACATATGATGTTGTTTGAACTGGTGCATGCTGGTCTTAAAGGTAAATACACCTGTTTACAACAATGACCACAGGAGAATGTCGCCTCAACACCACACTGTAGGAGTTATCACACTTCATTGATGGGACAAAGTCCTACACAACTTGTCCCCATGGCAGGTGTAGTGCAGACTAAAGCATGTACCTCTGGCCTCCTGCTCTCTGATCCGGGTCTGGTGATGAGCGCGGTGGCCCCACACACCACGGCGGCGTCCTCCACAAACACACAGTCCGGCATCGCCTCGTCCGAGGGCAGCTCGATCACCTCCAGCCCCAGTTTGCTCCTCATGACCTCCACATACTCCGCATGCTCCTGGCGCGCCTTCTGCAGGTCCACCTCCGCCGGGGACATGCGGAGCGCTTCTGTGGCCAGAGACGAAGGGATTCCCCGGACCACGACGTGGGTGCAGCCAAACCTCTCCAGTAACTCAGCCATGTTTCTGCTCGTTTATGCTCTGCACGTCCAGTCTGCAAAACAACCGGAGACAAGCAGAGTGAATGAAAGGCGAAAAGGAGCAGAGAAAGTGGAAGACGGACGTTATTACCACCGCTTGCAAAGCCCTCGGTGACGCGCACTCCAGGCACACGTGTAGCACTAGCAGGCGTCAGGACAAAGTCCGCTACGAGCTGACAACAAGTGACACATGCGCCAGGAGCAGCCGCGGTGCTGCTGCAGGCTGCAACACGCTCCCAGTGAAGTGAAGGGAAATGCAATGTGAATTTAATGTGCACGATTTCCATGGCTAATAAAAGGAAGCACAACAGCCTCCCTAACGACTCCAGTTCATACAGGTTTTAATTTACAAAGTGTTTCTGTTCATTGTACTCAAACTTAACCCTTTAATGGTTTCCTCAACCGTTTGGTGGATCACTCTTTGAGTCACTATCTACTTGAAGCATGTTTGGAACAGAAATCTACCTCTTTGGGGATCTCTATCATTTTTTTTAGGCAAAATCAAGCTGCATCTCACCCATTTGTCAAAGGCCTATCATAATACATATATATTTTTAAACAAGGGGTTAAAAAACAAATTGTCTGCGTTATTATTTCTCCTATGGTTTAAAAAATGAAATAAAGGCATTGCTTTCCTCATGGAGAGATCATTAAATTGTTAACATTGCCTCCTTCCCTGGTTTGACGTGCACCTGCACATGCTGTAACTCCAGTTATACAGCAGCTAAAGGGTAATACGCCTCAACTACTTTGGACTTGTCTTGTGTCGTCTTGAAGCTAGAGCCTTCAAACATGAAGAATAAATATGACCAGTTTAGTCACTTAACTCAATAGTCTGCCATAGATCCATGAGCCTGTTCTATGAAGGAACACAAATCAAATCTGTAACAAATTGAAGAAAGAATGAACTTCTGAGACATGTGTAACTAATTCACTTCTGGCTGATTTTCTAATGTAACATAACATGCACAGCCTTCAAACCTGAGCAGGAATGTAAAAAGAGGGCGGTTCTTGTCCTGCAGAATGGACTCGGACTTTGGTGGACAGCAGGAGGAAGGGTGTGTATAGATCTTAATTCCCAGTGGTGCCATCTGAGGCAGGTTATGGGCCTGGCCAAACAGCCTAAATGGATGGAATGTGCACTTCAGACGTCCCAAAAACACATTCTTCCACCGCGGGACCCCAGTTTGTCTTTTCTTGTTCCAGATTCACTCAATTATCCCCGACTGCCATAAACATTCCAGTGGCCCTACATTGATTTTTCCACTCCAAGCAGGACGAGCCACCTTCACCCGTTTGGATCAGGTGGGCACCGGGGGCAAAACATTCCCTCGAATATGAACTGACATTGTTAAAAATGGTAAGGCAAGTTTATATGCAGAGTTTATCCACAAAGCATTGCAAGAAATGATTTATTCAACGTCAAATACAAACAGAAGGGTTAAAAAAGGTCTAAAGCTCAATGTAAGCATGTTTAAGTTGGATTGGAACAGTGTAAGGATAGATGTCTGTCTCACATTTTCAAGGAGTTTTGGATTTTAGCTGCAAAGTTAACAATAGCACAAATAAGAAAACTACAAACATTTGAATTCTGGAAGACCTTATTTATATCCATGATGAAAGAAAAACTGACAAAAAAATGAAATTAAGAAAATTAACACTAATTATTATGGATAATTTTCTCATTTTGCAATACATACAAAAAAGTATAGTCCAGTGAATGAGATCCAGCAGCTACAATATTCCATATTGATAATATACATAATATTCATTCATTCATTTTCAACCCCTTCTGGGTCGGGCGGGGGGCTGGCAATGAGAGCTGCCACCGAATGCTCATAGCACCAGTCCCTCTGATCCTCTGCAGGTGGTGGGTCCACCTAAGCTGGCTGCTCCATCAGTGGTGAAACAGCCTTGGTCTTTCAGCGGAGGCTTCAGGCAATGTGGGGTTAAGTGTCTTGCCCAGGGACACAACAACAGTGGACATTTGTGGGAGCTGTTGGAGTAGGTCCCATGGTGGGCTCGAACCCCCGACCTCCAGGCCCAAAGGCCAACGTTATACCAACTGAGCCACTGTCACCCCCTTTGAAACAAAATAGACAAAACTAATCATATTCATTTTACAATATTAATAAACCACAAGTTAAAAACAAGCATACTAATGAGGGACTTGTAAAAAAGTGGAACTATGGAAAACCAATAACACATGGTCAAAAACAAGTTTTCTCCAAAAAAACATAACGTCCAAGACCAGGGGTTATTTTCGGCCAAAGACTCCTTGACATTTTTATTTGTACTTGTTTGAGCTATGTTCAAGTAAATTCTCTTGTGGATCAAGAAAGTTGGTCAAGAAAGTTCCTAATCAAATATAAGACAATGTACTATTTACTGACATATTTTTTTTATGTTTTGACTGTTTTGATAAAGCTGTGGTATATTGCAGAGCAGTTAAACATTGACTTGAAATGAGATGTTTTTTTTAAAAGTTCATTACATTTTCTTTATGTTTAAAGTAGCAATATGTAAGATTTTCCTGTCAAGACATCAATGGCCCTAATCTGTCGAAAGGCATAAACCATGCTCTGTTCAAATACTTCTTTAACTGATGACAGTAGTTCAACTGGGATTTGAAACTCTTGTCTATTCAGCTATTATGGTCCCAGCTGGATTCGTTTGCATATCTGACAACCTGAGTCAGGGAGAGTGGGAGAGGACTACAGAATATTGACTGTGATTGCAGTACCACTTTTGGCCAGATTTTTACATATTGCGTCTTGACATACAGTAGGATATCTTCAGGTTTCTCTCTTCTTCTCTTTTGTAAATATTGTTGTTACATTTTAAAAGCTTTAGTTGCTTATACTCAAGTATGTTGTTCCAAATTAAACTAGGCAAGGCAAGGCAAGTTTATTTGTATAGCACAATTCATACACAAGGCAACTCAAAGTGCTGAACAAAACAAGAAAGCATTAAAATCATATATAATCACAGAACATTAAAAAGAAAGATAAAAATATAAAATCCCTCAGTTGAATGCACAGCTAAACAGAACCGTTTTTAACCTGGTTTTAAACATAGTCAGAGAGGAGGCCTGTCTCACATCTTCAGGAAGATTGTTCCAGATTTTAGCAGCATGAATCTGAAAAGCAGCCTCCCCATGTTTAGTTCTGACTCTGGGCACTAACAGGAGTCCAGTCCCTGTGCTCCTCAGAGTCCGGGCTGGTTCATTTGGGACTAACATGTCACTAATATATTTTGGTGCGAGGCCATGGAGAGACTTGTACACAAGCAGAGCTGTTTTAAAGGCTATTCTCTGAGCCACAGGAAGCCAGTGCAGAGACCTGAGGACTGGACTAATATGGTCGTACTTCCTGGTTCTAGTCAGGACTCGAGCTGCTGCATTTTGAATGTACTGCAGCTGTTTTACAGCCTGTTTGGACAGACCTGTGAGCAGGCCATTGCAGTAGTCTAACCTACTGGAGACAAATGCATGGATAAGAATCTCCAAGTCTGCTTTAGACACTATGTTTTTGATCCTGGCAATGTTTTTTAGATGGTAAAAAGCTGCTGATGTTACTGATTTGATGTGGCTATTAAAATTTAAGTCTGAGTCCAGTATTACCCCTAGATTTCTGACCTTTTTTGAAGGTTTTAGGGAGAGAGACTGTAGGTGACAGATGACGCTCTCTCTTTGTTTCTGGGGACCAAAGACAATCATTTCATTTCAACTAAATGGTAACCACATGAAAACAATGTACCAATGTAGCCCCCTGGAGAAAATAAATGTGGACCCTTGGCGTACAAGGTTATTTTAGAAAAGACAAAGGTGTAAAGAAGCTAGTACTGTTTAAATACCTGAAGGCATTAGTCTACTACCAAAACATGTCACTTTGTACATGTATTTGTATGTTTTTTTTTTTCTTTTGTGCCTGTGAAACACTTTGGGCAGCTGGTGTTGTAAAAATGCAATACAAATAAAGTTGACATTGACATTGAGGCAAATAAGCAGTACTAGCTTCTTTACACACATTTCATATGATCACCCTATCACTTGTTCAAAGTCAAATGGTTTGAAAGAAAAGCAGAGAAAGATTGAATGAGAACACAAATGTATGTAAAAATGCTACTCAAGCCAACAATCCTCACAGGACCAGGCCGTACCACTCATTTGTTTTTCCGTCATTCCTCATCTGGGACGGCCTGAGAAAGGATCCTCTATTTGCTCGCTATGTCCTCACTTCATGCTGAGGAATTTAGGTGATATGAAGGAAGCCCTCACAGAGACCGAGGGCACACCTGGCTGATGCATGTGCAGAAATCAAATAACAAAGGACATTGAGAGGCTGCAGCTGTAGATGGACAAAGCCGCACATTTTATTGGCCCCAAATTACTGTGGCGATGATGAAATGCTTAAGTGATAAACGTATAACATCGTAATTACACAGGTGGCATATATGCGCCGAATGCACAGATGACAAAATACAGATGGGAGATTCAGGTTGGAAAGACTGCTTCATTATGTTAGACTGCTTGGAGTTCAGAATCTCATTTTTTTTTTTGTTGATCGCAATCTGGCTGCAACTTCTGCCATTTTGTTTTGTGACCCAAAGTTTAACTTTTTCTGGTAACTCAATAGAATGATATAATCAAATGTACAGTATGTATTCAAAGGTTATAGTTTATATACAGAAAACTTGATTTCCACATTCTATTTGCATGTGCAGGTAAAACTTGTGGTGAGACATACAGTAAATACTTATTGTAGGAGAAGATCATGACTGTGGGAGGAAGAAGCAGAAGAAGAAGAAGATCCTTTATTCGTTCCACAATGGGGAAATTTCAGTTTGATGCATACACATACTATACATATACACATCAAGGAAAGCAGCGAACATGGCTTCCGTGCTTCTTATGGGCAAAGTGGGTTAAGTGTCTTGCCCAAGGACACAACGACAGCAGTGGGAGTTGGTGAAGAGGGTCTCATACCCATGACCTTCAGGCTCAAAGGCCAATGCTCTACCAACTGAGCCACTGTCGCAGAGGAAGATCTTCAAATTCCACTCATTTTATACCAAGCAGTACAAAAGATGAAAGAATGGTACTCTGTTGTAGTTGTTGCACGCTATTCAGGTGGAACTTGTAAAATTATAATGATATTTAAAAGTTTTAAATGTATTCCTACAATTCAACTTAAATTGTGAAAAAAAAATGACACAATTTCATTACATGCAAAGTGACATAAGCCGATCCTGTTTGTTATGATTTTGATGATTATGGTTAAGTTTTACATGATATATCTAACTTTCTGTGTGACGAGTTTGTCATGTATGAGTTTCATATATCAAGTTGGATTACAGAAGTAAAAGGACTGTTGAATGTCTGTAAAAAGACGCAGTGGTGCACAGTATGTAACATTTCTTGTGGAAAGAATGGAGAGAAACCTTTGTGTATGAATGCTTTCATTCATTCTCCGATATTGTGGATGTTATGACATGACAAAAGACACTTGTTATCATAAGTATCCTTATTTATTGTTGCTTTCAGTCTTGAGGTCCTGAATCAGCCATCCTGTTCAGTTATTTTCTTTACTCTGGGACGCAATGTACAAATGTGATATTGTTTGAAAAACAAGTGCATTTGCTTTGACACATATTATATCATCAGTTTCTAAAAACCCTTCAAAATGAGCTGACAGCTAAAGGAAGTGGCTAAAAGTGAAGTTCTATCATTCCGGAGTCGGATGTTTACACATAAAAGCTGCTCTGCTTAACTTCATGTGTCCAAGGGACTTGGAACAGACAGTAAATATTAAGGATGTAGTCACACCTATCTCCGCTGTTGAAACTAATGTGCCACCACTTTTGGCTTCTGTGGGCTTTTTTTAAAAACGGTGCAGGTCTGGAAAATGTGAAAAAGCCGGCATGAGCCCCATTCATGTAACAAATGCATTCAAGGATCCACAGGAGCAAAACTAGGCTGGTCCAAAAAAATATACTCCCCTCAGCATTAACATAGATTTGGGCCAAGAGCCGACTTTTGGACCATCCTTTAAAGCTGTTTTTGAGAGGAAAGAAGACGGCATTCAAAAGCATTGGGTAATTCTCTTTCCGGGTACACCCCCACCGGCCTGGAGTGAGATTGCAAGCATGTCAGCGCACATGCTTGCAAACCTTTTGGAGCGGAGTCCCGCCCCCACTGGTCTGGTATTGCATGTAACCACAGTTTTCCATTGTTTGAGGTCACAATTAAGTCAACTATTTGAGCCGCTCATTTGCCCTGAGGTCCAGGAAAGCCCTCTTATTACCCATGATCTGAAAATGTTGACCTTAATGGAAACAATTAGACCAGGGTAATTATTGGAGACGTACATCCTTTGGAAATGTTGAAGTAAATCTAATTATGGAATAAAAATGACGACTTGGATGACGTACAATGACAGCCCTGTTTCCTCTGAGGGAGATTTCATTATTGTATGCTTCAGTACATGTTTATGTTAATGACCTCATCCAATTCTCGTTTTGGCCATACGCTCTCCTGGATCACTCACTATTATACTCTAACAATGGATTTTTATTGAGCATCTTATATAGCACAAATAAATTGAAGCTCAAACATTTTTATATAAAATAAAACATGCTAACACACAAACAAAACTAAAAAAACTAAATACTAGAGCCCAACAATAGAGAGTTTGTTGTGTAGATACAAACTTATTTATGTTCAAGTAGATGTGGATTGCAGGAAGTTTATGAATGGTTGCCAGATATTCTGAAATGATGAAATATTATCTTTTAATAAATATCTAATTCTTTCAAGGTGTAGTGTGTTTGACAGGTCCCATAGCCACATTTTAGCATTTGGCACGGTTACAATGGTGTTTTTTAACATCAGGTTTACTTTATTTGCACCCAGAGGTAGATTTAATAATAATGCATTTGTTTTAGACAGCGCTTTTCAGGACACTCAAAGGCGCTTTTCATGTGATTATTCTTTCACTCCATACACAGTGGTGATAAACTACAACTTTAGCCACAGCTGCCCTGGGGCATACTGACAGTATGTGCCGTGAAGTGTCTTGTCTTAGAACACGTCAGCAGTATGGCACTTTACTGCTGCAGGCACCTGATTTTCCCAGAGGTCTCCCATCACGGTACTAACCACAGCAGATTTGTCTAATCAACATTGAAATTCTCCTGATTGTTTATCTATGTCCTTATGTTGACAATATGAACGTCACAATATATATGTCTATCTTATCTAATAATAATAATAATGCAATGGTTTTATATAGCACTTTTTTGGACACTCAAAGACGCTTTACATGTCATTATTCTTTCACTCCATACACAGCGGTGATAAACTACTACTGTAGCCACAGCTGCCCTGGGGCACACTGACAGAAGCAAGGCAACCAGTATGTGCCATCGGCCCCTCCGACCACCACCAACCATTCACACACACACACACACACACACACACACACCAGACTCAATGTAGGCAATGGGGGTGAAGTGTCTTGCCTAAGGACACAACAGCAGTTTGGCACTTTACAGGTCCCAGAGGTTAAGTGTCTTGCCAAGGACACAACGACAGTAGTCAGTGGGAGTCGATGGTGAATGTCTTGAGGTGGGCTCGAGCCCACGATGCCATGTCTGTGTCTGGGACATAGCATTCCACCATCTATAACGTGGATTCAACTTTTATCTATGTCTAATTACAAATACATTACAACGCATTATGTCATGCAACTCTTGGCATCTCATCCATACCTTCTCAAAGCTTTCCCAGCCTACACTTGCACCCTATTGATACAAATCCATTTCATCTTCGTCTGATCTAAAAAAAAGTGGGCTATTCTAAAGTAGACAAGAGCTGTGTATCCCCCAGCACGATGTGAAGAAGAAAACAGATCCACATCAATCCGGGGCCCACTCACTCCCCCAATGAAAATGATTGCGTGAAAAGTGAAATTAGGCATAAATGCGAAGGAATTTCCCTTTCCTTGAAGAATATTTAACAAGGCTTTGAGCTGTCACAGGAATGCTTTGTGGTCTGCTGGCGAAAGGGAGAGAAATATGTTAATAATGTAGGCTACTGCCATACCAAATATGGCAATACTATTACGTCTGAGCTCTGCTGCGCATCTGGAAGCGCTTAGCTGCTCTGAATAACGGCACTGCAGAGCCAGAAATAGACACTGTTAAACGTATTTCTGCCCACACCTGGAAGCCTCACAGAGAAAGCACTATTTTAAACGTGGCTACAGACTGTTTCTCTAAAAGTCTATTCAACAACAACACCAACTCGCGCGTAATGACGCACGGAACAGTTGTCACACAGGCATAAGAAAGAAAGAAAAAAACATGAATTAAAAAGATTGACCCGTCATTTGAAACAGTGCTCTGAAATTCACAGATGCGTTTGAATTATAGAAGAGGAAAGTGAAGAAACGGACAAACAAGAGAGAAAAATGTGAGACGGAAAAGTGTGCTGAAGTGGATCCAGGGGGGGAAAAATCCATTTGAGAGGAGATGGGAAGAGAGAGAGAGAAAGAGAAAAAAAGGAAAGCTTTAGACAGGGTGGAGCTTATGTCTTGGATGGAAAATGCGCCGAGAAACATTCCTGGCATAGTTTGGGAACAGTTCAGCAGGCAGCCCAGAGACGACGTCAGCTCACAACCGTATAAAAGTCCCGGGGTGGCCGCGCTTCAGCAGACTGCAAGCGCTTTACACAGAGCTTAAACCGCTCCAACCCGAGCAGCCTTAAACACAAGAGACCACGACGAAAACAGGAAGGAATTTACCTCTCCATTTGAAGACTGCTTTCCCTTTTGACTTTGGATTTAGGAAAGACAAGACTTTTTTCCCCTCCAACATGATGAAGCTCAGTGTTGCCGTTGTCTTTCTGGGAAGCCTCAACCTGGTAAGTTTATTTTGTATTATTATCAAATAGAGGGTTGTCATATGTACGCTGTGGCTGAACGTGGTTTGATAACGCGTGTTTTGCCGTTTGGTTGCCTAGGTGCTCTCCTCTTCTTGCCCCGCTGTGTGCGAGTGCCCACATGAGATGCCAAAGTGCGCACCAGGCGTCAGCGTGGTCCTGGACGGCTGTGGCTGCTGCAAAGTGTGCGCCAGGCAGCTGAACGAGGACTGCAGCTTGACCGAGCCTTGTGACCATACGAAAGGGCTGGAGTGCAATTTCGGAGCCAGCTTTGCTCTTGCTACAACCCGTGGCATATGTCGAGGTATGTACACAGACTTTCTATTCTATGTGCTGTGAATAGGCTTACATTTGATTTGGTTAAATGTGACTAGAATATTAGAACCTGCAGTCGTTTAAAAGCAGTGTGGAATGTAAATGGTAGAAACTTAAGTAATCTCAAAGCACAGACAATCTACTGTGGAAAGAGAGCCGTTAACTGCCTAAAGAATTTCACAGTTTCACACACAGATCTTTATCTGGCAGCCATGTGATGTCTTGAGCTGAAGTCTTGGAGCAGAGCAGGAAAGAATAACATTCCATTGCTTGTGTTTTCTTTCTCCACCAGCCAAGTCAGAGGGCAGACCCTGTGAGTACAACAGCAGGATGTATCAGAATGGAGAAAGCTTCCAGCCCAACTGTAAACACCAGTGCACATGTATCGATGGGGCAGTGGGATGTGTCCCACTGTGCCCACAGGAACTTTCTCTGCCCAATCTGGGCTGTGCCAACCCAAGACTGGTGAAGGTGCCAGGCCAGTGCTGCGAGGAGTGGGTGTGTGACGACACCAAAGAGATCGATATCCTGGAGAAGATCTTTGGCAAAGACCTTCTGAATGAAGAGCTGGAGAAAGATCTCACCAACAGAAATGAGTTCATTGCATTTGTCACGGGTGGACTAAAGTCTCTTCCAGGTAAGAAATAAACATGAGCTTTTCTAAAGTGAAATTATGAATGACAAATGGAAACAAAGACTAATCTGGTTTCATTTTGTATCACAGCATACAGACAACAGCCTGAGGTGCAGATGTTTGACAACCATAAGTGTATTGTCCAAACCACACCTTGGTCTCAGTGCTCCAAGAGCTGTGGAACAGGCATCTCTACCAGAGTCACCAACAACAACAGTGAATGCAAACTGGTCAAAGAAACAAGGATTTGTGAAGTGCGTCCATGCACCCAGTCACCTTACTCCAGCCTCAAGGTAAGCTCCAAGCCCTATACTCGGAAGCAATGAGAAAATACTTGATGATAATGATAACTAAAGACTACTGTTCAGTCCTAGACTAACCTTGAGTTCTTTTCTGTTTACAGAAAGGCAAAAAGTGCAGTAGAACAAAGAAGTCCAGTCAGCCACTGAAATTCACATATGCCGGCTGCTCAAGCATCAAGAAGTACAGGCCCAAGTACTGTGGAGCCTGTGTGGATGGCAGGTGCTGCACCCCCCATGACACCAGAACCATCCGAGTCAAGTTTCGCTGCGAAGATGGTGAGACCTTCAACAAGAACATCATGATGATCGAGTCCTGCAAGTGCACTTACAACTGTCCCCATGCCAACGAAGCCTCATACCCCTTTTACCGCCTCTCCAACGACATCCACAAGTTCAGAGACTGAGCCCAAATGGTGGACAACACCACTCACCATTGGAAGCAGGGGTGTAAATAGACTTTCAATTGACTACCAACTTCTTGTTGTAACTAGATTCCCAAGGAATTGTGGGCTTACATCATGAGGACTTTATGAAGTGCACTGTTTGCTGTGACTTTCAGCATTCTTACTACCAACCGCTTCATATTAATGGAGCATCATGAGTAGCTTCGTTATGGAGCAAGATGTAACTAATATTTGTACATGTATCTTAGTCGCTGATATCAATTCACTGTGTATATTTTGATCTTATACATTTGGACAAAACCCAAACTGTAGACTTGTGTGTGGATATGACGATATGCACATACGCAATTTCAATTAGCAGACCATCCTGAAACATTCTGAATAAGACATTGAAATGCTTCCCTCAACTTGTTTAACAAGTGTGTGGTTTCATTTTCTTCGTGACGTGGGCATTATTGTTCATGTTTTGTGGCAGCTATTGAACTTCCTGACAAAAAAGACAAAGCGAAACATGTCAAAGGATGAATGAATGTTTTTATTATTGTTATTATTTATCAAAAGTGTAGCTACTTTATTTGAATATTATGTGTCATACTGGAATAAATTGTAAAAATGATTTAATTTTATATGTTACAAATAAAACTGATCTATTTATGAAACAACAACACTGCCTGATGTTTTATCTTCAATTAAGTTCAATGTTCACTTAGAGCTGGTCATTTAAGTTTCACCCAAAACGATGTAGACGTAACCAGTAGTCCGACAGACATTGAGAAAGGTCAGTACATTCTTATATAACAAAGTCTCCACTGACTTTGTGCACTTAGGAATGCCATTCTGAAATGCTCTGGCTTTCTTTCATTTGAGCTGGCTAAGCCATACACTTGACTGCCTCTGAGAGGGGAAAAAAAGATTAAGTCCATGAGTAGCAATGAGTATGGGAATATGCCAAGAATCTTAAGTGCTGCTGTGAATGGGCTAGGATTAGAAACCATGCACGATGCACAATGACTATTATTGTATGCAACTGAGATGTATGAAAAGAATGCATTCCTCCATATGTAGCCATGCCAAATTGACCTAATTCATTAGCAGCGATAGTTTTAAAGGGAACAAGGTGCACTGGCCTCAGCTGGCTTCTGCAGCACGTGTTCACTAATCAGTTGTAAACAGCCCTGTAGGGAAGGAAGGGATACATGTACTAGTAGTTGTATTACTATGAGGAAGCAAAATACACCCCTTAATACTGCAATTGAAAGTCACTTTTCAATGTCCCATGTCTTTCAAAGCACAGAACCTTGGGAATAAAATAATGCATGTGTTGTATGTCTTTAGCTTGGGTTAGATGACAGATGCTTGCACCTGGTGCAAATACCAACAGTACAGTTTAAGAGGGTTAGAGGAGCAGAGCTCAGGGGCAACAACAGGGAAGGCTTTCTTTTTTGATCCAGGTAGAGGGAGCGGCTCAGGAATGCAGCAGTGGCTCAGAAAGCAGACATCCTGATGGGCGGCAGATGTTGGAAAATATTTCTGAGCAACATGTTCGCTTTAGCTATGAAGACTTTCCAAATATACACAAACACTCCCAAGTAGTCAATTACATTCCCAGAGCCATAATATTGTACCATTCTACAGCCTGTCTACGGCTGTCATAACCCTGTCTTCTTCTACACAATCAACACTTTTTAACAACAATTAACAATATAAGAAATGTTTGTTTCATCAGTAAAACTGTGGTAAATGCTGGAGGAACCCGTTCTAAAGGCTAAATACTTCAGGGCCGTTAATAAAGCTGTTCATACCACACAGGATGTGCCCAGAGGTTGCACTATCCTCACATGATAGTTTTACCTAATTACAAAGAAAAGCCATATCAGAATATACAGACACAAAACTCTCAGTTTGACATATTGGTCTGTTCCTGTTCAGAACCCTCAAGAGAGAAAGTGCTACTATTGGCCCTTCATGGAGTATTGTCACTTATCTTGTTAACACAATGCAGCTAACTTGGTTATGCAATGGCGTCTGTATGTTATGTGAGCAGTCCTTTAGTTCATCCGGGGCATTCCTTCATAATGCACTGACAGGCATCTTGCTGTCTAAACTCACCCAGAACCGAAGGATCACATTTATTGTTGGAAATAAACTGTGAAGTCCGGGCAACACTGGGCCAACCTGTAAAAACTACTGCTCAGACACAGAGACAAACAAGCCTCTCACACACAGGCGCCATGCAATTAAATCTCTCAGCAGCTACCTCATTCCCTTAACTCAGAACTGTTTATATGACAAAGACATTAACATTAAAACTTCATCATGGACCACGTGATGTTATGCAAACAGGAGCTTGCAGCAACAACAGTGGTCATTACTCCAATCTGGAAGCTACTGCACTGATGTCAGCTCCTCAACCCTCTCAACTAACCCTGGTCAGAAAAGAAGCAGGGTTTGAGGCACTACCATCTTTACTGGCACCATCTGCTGGACATAACGCAGAAAAACACAGTCTTCACAATCTTACATATTTCTTTAAAAGAAAAGGATGGATTTGGTAACATGGATGAAGAGAAAAAAGTGTGGGTCTAATGATCAGGCAGTTAGACTGAACTTGGTTTGGAATGTCCCTCGAGCGGAGGTCTACAACCTTTTTTCAGAGAGCTACTTTTGTACAACAGAAGAGGCAGGGAGCCACTCTTTTGTTGGTGTAATATCAAAGATTTATGTAATTAGATGAGAGAGAAGCCATGGAGAGTCAAATATACTATAATACTGTATAACCCTATACTTATACTTACAATAGATTATATACTGACTCAATATGTATTCATTCAAGATCATTTCTTAAATTCTAAATCCTTAGGGGCGCTCCTGGTAGCTCCCGAGCCACAGGTTGGAGACCCCTGCTCTATGGTACAGAGTGGTCACCTCATATGATTATTTACCGATCACAGTCGCAGCATTGATGGAGAGCAGTCTCACTTGAGCTACGACCAAGCTAGAAGTGAAAGTGTTCTAAGCCAGCGTTGAGCTCATGTTGGCACAGCCCCAACTGTCCAGTGAGGTCATGCAATCTGTGAGCTCTTACCTCAGGACTTCACTGCTCCTAGGGGTCTGATTAGATTTTAATCACAGGGTTTCACTCCTGAACGCTACAGTGACTTTTATTGGGCTCTAATTGAATTATTAACTGTGTTTGCATTGTCTAGTTTGTGCATGTTCCTTATTTGTGTGATTTAATTAGCCCATTAGGTAACAGTTGAGGAAAAACACTTAGTGCTTTGACTAAAACAGGCACACACAGTAAGTCAGAACTAGATACGAAAAGTGATAATTAAATGTGCATTCTGATATAAAAAACTGTATAGTTTTGGTAATACAGTACCACAAAACAGGGTCAACGTTGCATGATCAAACTTTCCGGGTCTGTCATTTCTCTGATGCCCCTTAATCAATCCATTTATTTATAATTATATTTAATATCTGTGGAAAGTGCACTACACAGCTTTTCAAGGTGTTTCTGCTGTGTGCATTAAGATAATTGATCAAAGCAAACAAACTACAGCTTAACATAATACTTCAAATTATGGAAGATATTATATATGCACAATTCACATCCCAGTTCCTTTTTATTATTCCAATCCTAAGACACAATTCATTTAATTTGTTTATGAACAGCTCTAACAAGAACAATGGGTTCTTCAGGTGTCACATTTTGGAAGTAAACATCAACCTTCTTGTTGGAGTAACATGTGACATCCGTCTAGTCAGCCACTTGTCAATCAGTCTGTGCAAAATGGCAGGAATTATGTATATTCCAAGTCTTTAATCTGCCAAATAGTCTAATTGCTGCTCATTTTCCACAGCAGAGAAAATCATATAATCACCTCCAACTGTATATTCCGACTGATTTTATGTTTGAAAAAAAATATATATCATTATTTTGTTAAAGCAATAAAAGTGTAAAATTTGTATGGGGTATAAAACTGATTCATCAACTGGTTTCTGGCTGTTCACAACTTTAAAATAAAGTCGGAACTTTTCAGAACAATGATTGCTAAAGTGATACTAACCAAAGGGTCGATTGGAATGTAGTGCGAGTTATTTCTGCAGATTCTGGAGTTCTCACATGGAATTACTATTCCATGCAACGACTCTCAACTACTCATGCCTATATGTATTGTGCAGTAAAAAAAATAATTACATTTGAGTTTTACCCACACGCATACTTAGGCTAAAAAAACATGTCCAAAGAACCCTTATTCAAAAAATGGAACGCGTATGGTACAACTGCAAATCTACCAAGACTTGGCTGCCTGTCCAAACTTCAACAAGGACAATAGTGATCACAGAAGCAAACACGAGGCTGATGGTTACTCTGGAGGAGCTGCAGACATCCACAGCTCACCGGGGGAATCTGTACATGGGGCGACTACAAGTATTTGTCATACACTAAACTATGGACGAGTGGTACAAGGAAAGTCAGTGTTGAAATAAAGCCGCAAAAAGAATAGCCGGGGAAACATTCAACATTGGTCAGATTAGTCAAAAATCCAACGCTTTGGCTGAAATGAATATATATACAGTATACACTACAGTTGAGGTTTTTACTAAAATCACATTAATTTGCTTTCACTTCAGAGTTGTATGTTATTTTACTGAAAGATGGTTTTTAGACATTATGTGCAAAAGTTTAGACTACTACTTTCTCAAGGCACTACGTGGCTTCACTGGATTTGTGTCAAAAGTATTTTAAATGTACTTTTCTGTGTGTTATTCAAACTGAAGTATCTAAATTTAACAAAACAAAGTTTAAGCAATAAATGCCATACTGCATAAAAGCTAGCAAAGGCTACATGTTGAAGCATATCTCTGTAGCAGCTTGCACAGTATCATTTCCTTCTGGCCACAAATAGTGCAAAAGAGTTCAATTACACATTATTGCAAAAGACCGTATTCTGCACAATAAAATACTATTTTAGGAACACATAAAAAGTACAGCTTTGGTGTGGTCGTTTTTGACATTTACTGTGCCATAAATTAAGAGTTATTCTTAAATTTAGAGGAATTAACTCAAAACCAACCCCAGATGAGTCAGCAAAATAAAAAAGTTTGACCATTATCTGCCAGATCAGGATCTGACATTAATCATAAACTGTATGAATGTCTAAAGGTACTTATCCAATGAAAAGAAACAGGTGTAATATTGACACGCACATATCCTATATGACGAAGGCAAAGAAGTTGTTGTCCATGGACACATACTTGTGTGAGCTCATTGCTGCTCATGCAAAAGAGTGGAAAGTGCGTCATCACGGGGCAGACATCAAAGGCTGTGCGTCCACAGGGGTTAGTGTTCAGCGGATGGGTTATAAAAACACTTCTATGAACACAGGCCCCAGCAACTGGCCGCATCACCAGTTATTACTGGAACTGTGTTGTGGTAATGAACGGACACGGTTAAAACGCACTGTGTGCAGGCCTGCCTGCATCAGCATATTCACACTTAAAGGTGTGAGAAAAACGAGAATGTCATCAACATTTAATAGTCCATATCAAACAAGTGCCTTTACGGACTCTTTACAGCAGAGACTTTGTACATGCAAATGTAATACAAATATTTTAAGAGCAATTTGGTGCAACTTTTAATGATAGAATTGCTACAAATAAAATTAATATTAACAGTGTGAACCAAGTCCAAGTTCTGTAAGAAAATGTACTTTAGGACGAGTCCCGGCGATCTGAAAAGCTTGCTCATCTCTCTGTTCTTGTTCACTTAAGAAGCACTGCGAGTGTCTCCTAATGGTTCACTGATGCTGCCTCCGCACAGATCATGGCTCTTCTCACTGCTGGCTTCACTTTGGTCAATACTGTAACCCCCGATCCCTTCACCGTCGCATGCACTCGAGTCATTGCTGATCCTTTCCCAGCGTCGTTCATCCAGGATCGGAAATGTCCCCACTGTGGGACGAATAAAGGATCTCTTCATTCTCTCACTGCTGCCTGCACTCTGGTCCTTGCTGACTACATGGTCCACATAGTTCTCTCCCATATCTTTTGACACAGTCATAGCAACATTTCTCTCTTCAGTGGGTCCTTCACTTGCATCAGAACTCTCAGATGAGCTGCTGTCTTCATCCTCATCACCGCTTCCTGTCAGTTCTCCGTCTTCCTTCTCCAGTCCTTCTCGTTTTGCCCGTTTCGCTGGCGGCGAGGTGATTCCCAAAGATCCAGCGCCAGTGGCAGACTTTGACGTATCATCTTTGTGAGGACTCAACCTTAGAGTGGAATTACTGACTTTGGAGGATTGTTCTGCAGAAAGAGAATGACATTTGAACAAACTTTGCCACAACAAATTGAAATTTAAACAGAAACTGATCAGTTTTTTCCTGTCAAATGTAATACAGGATTGTAAGTAATTGATTCGATGTGAACATGCATATGGTGACCCTGCAATTTTATATATCGAATCTTTTTATTACATAACGGTAAAGGATAATTAGACAGGAGGAAAATATGCTGGTCAATCTTTCTCACAAAGAAACAGGGCTAAAGCAGATCTTACCAAAGTCGCCCTTCCTTCATCCCAACTCAATAACCGGACCAAATATTTATCTTTTTGTGTTGTCAGTGGTTAATAACCAATTCAACAAATATAATAAATAAATAAATATTTAGATGGCTGATGAGGACTGCAGCCCCACAGCCTGATCACTTATAAAAGCAGAAAGCTCTCACCATATTACTTTGTAAAAGACTTAAATCTTTGGTGATACCAAAATGACAGCCATTATGAATTATGAAACCAATTAGTTATTTTACAGATCATAAGGCCTGTCTTTGAGAGAAACACATGTTTGATCCTCTTTTTGGCTGTGGCCACTGTTGAGGTTAAGCTGGTGAGAGTGATGCTGAGCAGAACACGCTTATTTCCGTTGGGTTGCCGTTTCCATAGTGAAAAATAAGTGCAGGGAGTCAAAAAGTCTCTGCTCAAGAAACCAGGACATGATACAATGCAGCTGGAATCAGAACAGTACCGCTGTTGTCGACTTTGGGAAGTCTGAATCTCCATATATTATATACAGTTAGCTGCAGAAAATGAAATACGGACAATATGGATCATTTGATAAAAGTCTCCTTAAAAGCCAACTGTCATAATGTATTAGCCCCTGATGTAATGCCTTTAATGTGTTGTTAGCCTCGTATGGATACCATTTGTACATGTTAAACTGTTTTTAAAAGCCTAACCAGGGATATGGGTGGAAAATTAGCATGTGGCTATAAGTCCTTTGTTCTTGGACAGAGTTCCCTTTTGGCGGAAATGTTAAAATGAACTGTCCTTGTCAGAAAATTAATTATAAGTAAATACATAAAACAGACATTAGGACATAACTCCAGGCGACAATAGCTCAGCTGGTAGAGCATTGGCCTTTGAGCCAGAGGGTCGTGGGTTCCAGCCCGACTCTCACCATCAACTCCCACTGTCTGCTGTTGTTGTGTCCTTAGGCAAGACACTTCACCCCGTTGCCTAGAATGAGTCTGGTGTGTGTGTGTGTGTGAATGGTTGGTGGTGGTCGGAGGGGCCGATGGCACATACTGGTTGCCTCGCTTCTGTCAGTGTGCCCCAGGGCAGCTGTGGCTACAGTAGTAGTTTATCACCACCGTGTATGGAGTGAAAGAATAATGACATGTAAAGCGTCTTTGAGTGTCCAAAAAAGCGCTATATAAAACCATCGCATTATTATTAATATTATATTATTATTATAATTATAACAGACATAACTTCAGAAAGTATCTAAAATACCCTTTAACTCATTCACTGCCAGCCATTTAAAAAGCAGCATCCCTCATACTGCCAGAGATTTTGGACATTTTTAGTGTTTTTCCGAACCGCATAGAAATGTGAGCCCTTAGTTGACACAAGTATGAAACATACCAAATGAAAGCTCTATCCCTTGGATTTCATTTTAAAAAAAAGTAAGTTTCTAACCCTTTTAGTTTTTTAGCAATTGAGAGTGCAACATAGGTAACTTTCACACAAAATGCTGTTTCCTGACCAAGATTTGGAGAAAACAGCCTTTTTGTGAAACGCGCATTTTCAAGCAGAAAAGTGGGGTTTTTTTGTCTTTACTGATATTTTACAATGTAAGACAGTTTCTTACTATGACACAAAACAGAAACAATACTTTGAATTGTATTTTTAATGTATAATTATTTTTAAACAAATTAAACGTGTACACACAATACACTCAAAGGATTGTCATATGTACACATGAAATATTCAACTTGTATACAATAAAAACACTTTGTATACAAATACACAGTAAAAATAACACTTTCTGAACACTTTGTGAAACAATTTTACTTTAGTTTATAAAGAATAGTAATTGGGTGACCCCACACTCTGCTGAAGTGTGGGATCTACTTCCTCCACACTCCCAATACATTTCCAGGTTGGTTTTTTTTTTACAAACCCAGAGAGAAATGTCAAACCAAAAAAGGTTTTTAGCTGCAGTCTGTCACGGGCTTCCATGCATTTTCTCTGCTGAATGGGAGACGCTGTGTGTGTGCACTGAAATATTGTGCTGCATACAGCTTTGTCTGTTTGACAACAAGATCCAGGATCCAGAAGCTCATCAGTTATGAAGAGCTGCAGAAGTCAGCTGCTGATCCAAATCAAGCTCTGCTGCAGCATTTTGGGGTCCTGGGGTCAACAATCTACGACACAAAGGAAAATATAAAATCACCATACATTTTCACATTATAACAAGTGTTTTGGCTTCAGCAGCTATGACATTGAGATAAAAAAAACTCTTCAATATTCGCTAAAAACGTTACTTTATGTTTATTTTTACTATAGTATAAGGCAGTGATTGCTATAGTCACTCCCTCCAGAATCTCTCAATGTTTGAACGCAAAATCACGCAGACTCTGTGATCAGAGGAACAGAGAGAGTCTCTCTCCCCCTGTTCCAAAGCAGCAGCGGGCGCGCTCCTGACGCACCACAGCAGAATGCACAACATGGTGCGGTAAATCTAACACTTGTTGCTCATCGGTCTGCCATGGATCACCTCACCCTGTCCCTTCTATAAACCACACGGTAACATCATCCATAGCTCCCTGGCAGCTAATGCTGCATGCCAGACTCACACGCCTCCAAACTCAAGAGGGAAACTTTTGGGAAAATGTCCCGCGTAATCAAGCATTTTACCCCGCAATAATCATTCATCAATCAACAATTGCGCGCAAATCCTGGAGGGGCTGATAGTACATTAGACAAAGGGGAGAAATAAACTCGTTAATGCAACATGTTGAAGTGAAAAGCAACTCACCAGATTACGACGGGGGGAGGAGCCGCTGCTGCTGCCGCTGCTGCTGGACGAGGAGGGAGGGAGAAGCCTCCGAGGATCCTGGAGTCTCATGTTAACTAAAACCTGAAGAACTAGCATCGTGGCATCTAGCTGCTTCATATTTATCCGTTTGATGACTGAACAGGCTCTCAAACAGCGTTAGCTGCGTGAGCTTTTCAGATCCGCGATCCTCTGTGTAATCATGGCTGCTCCTCTGGCTGTTTGCTCCTCACAGCACCACATGCCCCCTTCTCCCTCCCTGGATCTGGCCACAGTGTCACCTCTGCCCCCTACAGGATCGGTTCCAAAGTGTTTACAGGTCTGAAATGTTGACACAGGATGCACAAGAGCCTTGACGAGCCATAGAAAGAAAAAAACAAAAAAAAAGCGATTGACGTCTATAGACGTCAATGGCAGTGAATGAGTTAAGAAGCACTCCACAAGATGGAGTTATAATCAAACATTTCTCCGCAAAAAAAAAAAAAAAAACTCATATTGTTCTAAATGTTCACCTGGGGTTGACTCCTTCAGAATCATGGTTGTTCTATAAAATGTGAATTCAAATCTCAAATCGTTTGCCTAATCAGTTTTGTTTGTATTCCTGAAATTGACACTCGATTCTTAATAGGTTATTGCTTTGATTCAAAACTCTATTTGATATTAATGCTTGATATAATGTTATGTTTGTATCAATAGATATCTTTAGGGACTTGCGACTCAGACTTATCTCCAAAGACTGCAGCGCCACTCTCCGTCTCACAGAATGCAGTGAAGGGTTAGCATCAGGAGCGAACTGGCTATAGGTGCATATCCTGGAAAAGCAACGAACGGTTGCGGACTTGCTAAAGGGAATGAAGGCATCTGACTGGTAAACCGTTCTTTCTGGCTTGGTCTGGATTTACAAAACAACATTTGAAAAAAAAAAGCTGGATGAGAACGCTAAACCACAGATTTATTGAGCCTAAAAGGGTGAGTGTGACGGAGGAGTTTACTTTTCAATGCACGTCAATAGGAGCCAGAGAGATCTAACACAACACACTGGAACGCTGACTTTGGGGACATACCAACATTCGTGGGGTAGAGGAAAAAGTAAAGCGTTCAATGTGTTACCTAGTCCCTTCAGGGGATAGTCTTTCCAGTGATCCTTCAGCACAACATGCAGTACAGGATACTCAATCAAGGTTTTGTAGCTTAGGTTGTCCCTCAGAGTCTTATTGAAATCCAATTCATGGTACCTGTAGAGCAAAATTCAAATAAACAAGATCAAATTCAGCAAACCACCTCAAAATACAGGGCAAAAAGTACATATATTGATCAAACGTTGAGGATAGATTCTGCAGATTTTTCCATGGTGATAAATACAACCATTGCTGGGTTTCCCAATTTGCAAAAGCATCCGAGTTATGATATACAATATATTACAGAAATCCACAAAGTGCACATCCATTTTACCAGACCAAAAAGAAATTTAGCGATCCAAAATTAATCACAACTGCAGTATTCAAATGGAAAGTACGACCTTCCATTTGAGCAAGACTTAATACCAACTCTGACAGAAACCCGCAGTGTTCCCTCCTCCTTGTATAGAATGACATCAGTCTTGTCCTGTCATGCATTAGGGATGGTTGTAAATCACTGCAAAAACAGCAATCTGGACCCTCCCGGGACACATGTTTGCTCAAGACATTGGAAAATCATTGAGCTTAGACTGTCAACTCCTAAATACTCCTTGACAGAGCACTGGATGTACAGAAACTGGCATCTTTCCCACCCACTGTCAAGTCCACGATGAGTGCGGCTTGCAAATCTATTGTTTGTTACGGTGAGTGCGACTGTTGACGCCTGTATACAGACGCCCACTATGCAGCCCAATCGAAGCCCTGTTGATTACACTTTGACATTTATAGGCCCTCCCTGAACCCTACCCTCCTGGAAGAGTTCTGAGGAGGGCTCAAGATCGCTTACATGATACCACAAATAAACATGTGTTTGGGTGAACACCTACAGCAACACAGTATAAAGACATGTGATTCAAATAAACTTAAGCCCTTCTTTGATTAATGACTATTACACCAAGGTACAGTTTTATTTTCTTGGTAGAGTTTGTTTGAAGCTCATGTTTTGCATTTGTTGTTATCTTTTATTTTGTATTGGTGACTCGGTTGCAGTGGGGTACAAGGTGCAATTTTCTTCTTTAACGCAAGTATTCTTTGGTAATTATATGGTATATACATAACATGTCACGGTCACCCATCTTCTTGCAAGTTCATCATTAAGAATAATTCTGTGGGACACTCAAAATGATCCCGCTCCATTAGGTTAAGGTTACCGATGCATTTTGATAATATTCTCATACTCATTTTTGTCTTTAACAAATACAATATCATCCAAATTGAAACAAGGATATAAAATATGTTTTGAGAACATGATTGCCACCACTGGGAGCTTCAGTGGATCATGCAGACTGTTCAGAGTTGGGAGTTTTAAGGGATGAGTGCCTATGCCAAGAACACCACAACATCTGGTCTGCATAAAATGTACTGGTGAATGAACAGAAGGCAACTGATGTTCTCTTCAGGGAGGGTCCTTGCTTTTTGGCTGCCGAGAGCCATCAGCGCTGGTGTTAAACTGAAAGAAAACTGTTCCAGAGACAAAACAGATATTATTCAGTAAGATAATGCACAAATCACTTCACTTATACAATATTTTGTAGTATTTAAAATACAAAAAAGACAAAAGATGCGTCACCTTTGATGGCTTTAAAAGGGTGTGTTTAGATGGGGCCAAGTGTATCCCCTTGAAAGTGATTTATAATATTGCATTCAAATCTGGAATAAACTTGGATATTTGAATACATGATGGGCATGTTTCAGAACAATAAGCACTAAGATGTATAATTAAGCATAGATTTAGGGAGAGTGGAGGGAGAGAAGAGAGCTAAAAATTGATCTGCCTCAATTATGTGAGGGAAAGTACAACTGCTGAGGACACAAACACGAGTGTCTTCACGCTGTACGCAACAGAAGCTCGTCAAGAAAAATGTCTCTACGACACGTCAATAAACTTCAAAATTGGTTGGACACATTTCCAAACCAAAACATTTCACATATAGTTATTTGGTTTATAAAATTACATTAAGTGAAGGCTAACTTGCTAGCTCAAGGGAAGTGCTCATGGATGAAGTTTTGCTCCAACTTGCTCTTGACTTTCACTGAAAAGCACTTCTCTAGCTCAGTAACCGTCACACTCACCATTTTGGGCTTAAAATGTATGTTTAGTGCTCTCTATGATCCTGGTGTTTATATTTCTATATCTTTGTAAATCCAGATATGACCCATGAAAATTGACCAATTGGATGCCTTAATTCAAGCAGGAAATCATTCCCTTCAGTTTGCCTTAGCAAAACCCATGTTAAGGTGTGAAGCCAAGGCAGCGGGGAAAAAACGGCCGCTGTAAAGCGGCCCACACATTAAAAGCAGGGTAGCCCTTTTATGCGGTTACCTATGGTAAACGAAGAAAGGGAAGCCGGGGGGATGAAGGGATAAAAATGCATTAACAAATCAAGTTTTGCAACTACTTTCACTGCACACTTGTTCACTGTGATGATAAATTTTAAAAAATTGCATTTTGGTTGCTCATCCCCGCAGCTTCATTTCCACGTTTATCGTAAGTAACAACATAAAGGGGCCACCCGCTTTTAATGTGCGGACCACTTTACCGCAACCGCGAAAAGCCGGGCTACTTAACCACTGTGAAAAACGGACACTTCTTGCGTGGAGGGTCCCGGGTTTTCTATTAAAATAAATGTTTCGCAGATCGGTGCCAAGACAGAGGTGAGTCTGACCAATGTTTTTTCTTGTCCTCCCAGGTCTCATATGAGCTTTGGATTTGTTCCGTTCGGTCTCATACACTTATTTTTTGCTTGTCTTTATATGTCCTCTGATCTTCTTGCATTAAAGTGCTTAAAAATACAGTGCATTTTGCCCACTGAGTCTTTTAAAATTACTCGTCTTATCCATGCTTTAGTATGTGCCGCTCTGTCTTCTTGTCTGCGTGTGCCAGAGGCGCTGGCAGATGTAAACAAAGATCCTATTTACTGTCTATGGTTGTGACCCAGGCTCTGTGTGCACCTTGCGGCCGCTACCTCCGGACTCCAAGTGTTGCTTTCGTCTTTACTCTGTGTCTTGCGCTTAGGGCCGACAAACGAACAGCCTTATTAATCATATAAAACAAACTTTATTCTGCATAAGAAGTCACCATAGTAACAGACAACAACTACCGGCTGTTGTGATTGGGCACAGTGTTTTCGTCAGAAATCAAAATCTTTTATTGCTTTGACAGTGAACAATGATCTCTAGAAGAAGAGCCTCCTCCTCTGCACCAAGAAACATCACTTAAATTTAATTATTGCATTTTAACAGGAATATTAATCTATGCTTTATACAAATTGTCAGATGAGGGGGTGGATTTCCTAATCGGGGAAAACAACAGTAAAATAACTAATGCTACAAGGGGTGACAAAGGATTTGACATATTTTAAAAGATTGTGCGTTTGGTCCAGTGCTGTACTCAGCCTTTCTGTTTGGAGTTTACTCATGTCTGAGTTTCCTCTGGGCACCTCTGTTTAACCCACTGTCCAAAACATTCAGCAGTTTAAATCCAGTGTGTGACTGATGTGGTGTCGGAGGAGGCGATGGCACAGTCAGGCTGTACTGTTTCAGGCACCACAGAGTGAATTACAATGGACTTCAGTGAAGGCAACAACCGCTTTTAAATAATTGTGATTCTTGCATTATTGAGCCGAATGCATTTTATATGAGAAGGTAAAAAGGAAGGTTGGTGGTGTATTTGATTCATCGGATGCAGCCATTCCATTTCCCCAAAAATCAAGTGATTTCTGTGAGACAGAAAATCAGATCAGATTATCCTTGTGTCCGAGTCAAACAGCTGTAGTCTATAGCCAGCTCATGTCAGGTCTATTGGGGACATTTGGTATCTATGTAGGTATTCAGAACACATGAGGTTTTCCCCAAAAAATTCAATGCACAATATTTTGTAGTGGAACGCAGAAGATGTGACAAAAATAAATAAAAACTTTACTTTTATGATTAATATGGGTGAAATACATGTTTTGTATCAAAAAAAACTTTATTATTGAGCTTCTTGGAACTTCCTTAAAACTGTGGTCTTCACTGATGTCAAGTGAAATAGATTTTACTAATAGATACTCTCTGACCAACAAGTGCCAGGGTGGTGTGATAATCATAGTAATTAAATATTATAATTATTTATTCACTGCATACAGTTGCGCATGACCTCCACAATGATTGTCTGACAGCAGAAAAGGAGAGTGGATGCTCTTTATAAATATTGTTTAAAAAAAACAACCTACTGTATGTGCAGCAGTTTTCACTCACCTCACTGAGTTAGCCTTTCTTCCCTCTGCCTTCATGAAAACTTTTATATGTTCCAAGACCTCATGGACGTACATCTTCAGCCTGAAACAAAAGTTCAACCCAAGTTTAATCACTCACAACTTATACCTTATTGAAATAACTGGACAGCATGGTCCGTTTCTCTAAAAAGGTCACACTACAAAGGGCCCATTGACTCACAAGGCCTCTACGGCCCATGGAAAGGTCAATCGAAGACATGCGACAACAATGTAATTTCTTTATATCAAGTAATAACCTGGCTGGGCCTGATAGAGCATCTACATTGGCCAAACGGATTATTTGATCTTCCGGTTTAGAAGCACCAGGCTCGCTGTATCAGTAGAAAGGTCATGCTAGAGTCAAGTGGCTGATTAGAAGAACCAGCAAAGTCTCACAGCATGTCTTGTGCTAGAAATGAGGGGGAAACATAGGCCTGTGAACCATGAAGCCGCTATAGGGACGTCCCGCCTGACGTCACGCCACTTGGAGCAGCCATCTTGACGGAATAGAAAATGCAAAACCGCTGGTGATACTACAGGTCGTTGTGAAATTTTCCTATCATGCCGGAGCGATGCTGTGCAGTTGGATGCGACCAGATAGATGATCAGACGAAAGGAATATCTTTATACCGTATCCCAAAAGAAACAAAACGGAGTGGTTGGTGGCAATAAACAGGCAACCAACATTAGTTAGCTCAGTTAGCATCAGTCACGACTATGGCTTTGACTTTTGCACAAAAATCATATTCGAAGTTTGTTTGTTTATTAATTTAAATATTCGAATATTTTATTATAATTTATTAAACTGCTCCTCAAAGCTAGCTGTTACTTCTGTCTGTAGAGAGAAGCTAGACGAGCTAGCCCACGCTCAATAAACAGATACCAATCAATCAATCAACACCTTTAAATGTTAATCAGAGAATACATTATACATAAACATCCTTAACACAAACGCACGGAGGTTTTCAGAATTATTTGTTAACGTTTTCATGACAAAAATACTATTTTAATGTGACAAAAAGCGATCGTGATAAACCCAGAAGTAACCATTAACATGAAACGAACATTTTAGGACACATTTGAAGAGGATCTGATTATGGCGGACGGATTCCGTCAAAATGGCTGACACGCGGCTATGGGTCATGTGACTGGGAGATCCCTATAGCTATACTTAACGTTGGTTTTAATTTACCAGATTAGTTTTATTTTCTTTATGTGACCCCAAACAAATGTCTACAAACCTTAAAAATTGTAATTTTACAATAATCTGAAAATAAGGATTGAATATTGTGACATCCCCAACTACTTATTGTCATAGTCTTCATCACTCACACTTTTCGTGAGAAACTAAGCACACAAATATGGTCATTGCCAAGAAAAGGCAGCTCGTTTAACTTCTGTTGCGAAAACAATTGGCTCGAGCAGCTACTCTTAAAAGGTCGGCCAAGCAGTACATCAAACAGACCACAATGAAGCTTATCATCAGATGGTTAGCAGTATTGTTTTTGTTATTCTGTGCTCAGTGACTGAAAACCAAAATGGAGCATTTTCCCCAAAGGGTAATTCAGTGGCTTTGGCTTTTCCCACTACTTCTGACTAACAATTTAAAAATAGAAAGTGATCCACAATTGACTTAGTGGTATAAAAAGACTATGGGAAAGCCTCAAGGTCTCTTAAGATACATTATTCATAATGAACTTACTTTTGACGTGCCACAGGGTCCGACTCTGTGGGATGGATGTACGGATCCAGAATTTGCTTCAGAGTTAACTGATCAGAAACCCTGAATGATGGGAGAATGATAAACTTGTATTATTAGGGGTAGGGCTGGGCGATATGGCAAAAAAAAAAAATCTCCGATTTTTTCACACCAAATCCGATTTTCGATTTTAATCGATTTATTTTTTTCTATTTAAAAACAAACTACAACTGACAAAGAAATAGATTTTCCTTTATGCAGTTTAATCTAAATCCCCATGGAGCATAAGTGTAACAGGAATTAAGCCTTAAAACATGCTTGTAAACGAGATGGCTCTGCCATTGTAAACAGTGAAAATGTAGCTTAACAGTTTTATAATAACTTCACTTACAATGACACTATGCACCTTCAAAATAACTTAAATCACACAAACAAGGCCCATCGCAAATATATCAATCCTATTAAACACATGCATTATTTACATGAAATATCACATTTTTAAAACTGATGACTCAAAATAGAAATGTTGTAACACAGTCTTTTCCAAAAGCCTCCTCGGGTTTTCATGCTTGTTCTTTCAACTGTGCCTGAGTAACTGTGCTGTAGTACAACGCTCGGTCCAGCTGGTGGCGCTAATACTAACTTCAGTGACTCCCGCATTGTGCGAGCTTCCTGTTTACATTCTGATGCTGTAGCTAGCAGCTACTGTAGCTAACAGACAGCGGGGAACACGTTGTTTGTATCAGAGCAATGAGAGCAATGTGTGAGACGTGTCTTTCCCCAAAGTGCAGCGGCTCAGTGGGACACGAGTGCGTGCGCGCCACGGACACGGGAGTGCGCTTTGGAATAACGAGCGTGAGAGAGCGTGAAAGATGTGGCGTACGACCGGAGCCTGTGTGTGTGTGTTTTGGCGATTAAATAAAGTCTGATTCTTGAACGTTTGAAGTGTTATTGCAACAGCACCAACTGTGAGAGCGAGCATCAGGCCAGAGGGAGACTGTTAGCATTAGGTTAGCTTCAAAATGACTGCTCAACACCATAGACCCGCGGCTAGCGCGTTAGCGCTGTAGTTCTGCGCTGGAGAAAATAAAAATCGAATTTTTAAAAAAAGAAAATCGCCCTAAACGTAAAACTCGAATTAATGATTAAAATCGATTAATCGCCCAGCCCTAATTAGGGGATAACTCAAACATACATGAACCACTCTATGAACTGTAAATGACATGGGGAAACAACCATAACCTGCTCAGAAGCATTAAAAAGTCAAGTTTCATGTCATATCACCTTGAAAAAAAACCTCACCTCCTCTGAGTGTAGTCTGCACAGCTATCAGGGAAGATGATCTTCAAGTGCCACATGAAGAGTTTCTCTCTGAACACAAACATTAGCCTTCTTTAGTCTGACGCAATACAGACAAAATAAACAAGTTCACAGGCAAGAAAAGACAAATATTTACAAATTGAACATAAAAATTGATTAGTGGGTTCTGGTTTCAGCCTTGAGGGAATGAGACCTGTTAATAGAGTTTAGTCCAAGCAGCTAAAGGGGATCTTAGATGACATGACATGAGTCAACATAATGATAGCAATAGCACCTGGCAACCAGAGCCCCGGAGTGGCCTCCTGGTTAAGTGCAGAGATCCCCTCTCCCAAAGTTAGACAATAAAAAGGTGCAGATTCTCATCTGACTTGAGCGAAAGTCAACATTTGTAACACTCAGGGGAGGATTGCTGCTGAGACAGCATGCTGCCAGAGTAGTTAGCGCACTCGTTTCTCAGCAACTGTCCTGGTTTCGAATCCAAGTTAGAAAAGGGCCTTTCTGAGTTGTGTTTTTATGTTCTCCCTGTGTCGTTTAGGTTCTCACACAAACCTGTACAATCTGTAAAAGCTCTGGTAGACCAGACCAAGCTGAGCATCAAGGAGATTGGTTCCTGGGGCCTGTACTATGCCAACCACTGCACCTAGTGCATAATCCAAGTGGTGCCTTTTCTAGAAATGCACTGTTGCAGGTGGACGGCTGTGATTGCATTAAAGTTACCTTTTTTGTCTCACTAGGGGAAATTGGTTTGGCAGCAAGCAACCATCTATGAACAGGCAGTTGTAGTTAAGGTGATTCACAGTTGTTGGGATAAACATAGTTCCCAATCTTTTTGACCTGCACCTGCGTCATCCTGAGGGGAAAAGTTTGAACAAGACTTATTGAAACTAAGCAAACCCTCCGGGTGTGGCAAGAAATAAAGCGCATTAGTGTGATCGCAGCATCATTGACACCCCTCCCTGACCTGTATCCAAATGGAAGAGGGTCTAACGCATCCCCAACTTGCTGAAGAATGGCCTCTTTAAAAGTTCATTAGCCAAGCCTTATCAGATTCATGACCAATGAAAGCAACTTTATGTACCTTATTAGGAGCCCCTGTGTGTGTCAGAGATTACATTACAGCACCTCTTCAAAATAACTGCTAAAAAGTTTGTTGTGGGGTTTCTATCTGGTTCAAGTGTATAGAGGCTACTGACGAGAACTCTATAGACGATATCTGCGAGTGAATAATTCCTTCTGTAAAACAGAATACATCTAACCTGGTCTGACCTCTGAGTCACAATAATCTTTGTGTTTGCTTGGTTTCAATAAGTTTCTGCTGAGTCAAAGCAAGTGAGAGCGACTGAGGGTGGGGAGCCAGGTGTGATGCTATTATTCTGACATTATACTAAATGGAAAGTATGTGTTTGAATTGAAAAGAGGCTTGTTCAAAGAAACTAGCAGGGGTGCAGACCAACTGTATGCTTGCAATACAGACAGTTTTGTAACGCACAGCGTCAATAAAACTAAAAATATAGTTAGGCAAATTCCATGTTAGTTATTGCAATCAGCTTTAAACTTTCACACACAGTTCCCACAAGCGTCCCTTCTTTTAAAGTTGACTGGCTCCAATAAAAAAATAAAAAACCCTGCTCTATGATGTTTTAATCAGCTACAACTGCAATTAAACCAGGTCAATTCAACAACTGCTAAACTTGTTTTCACCACTTGACACTGTGGGAAATGTAACTGGACATGTATTTCCATATTAACATATGAAGCTGTGTAAAAGGAAGAGATTTTAAATTCACCCACAACAAAATACAGCAGTTTTCCAACGTATAACAGTATCCAAGTGTGCTGCTTACTCTACTTTGACAAATCAGCAACTGTTGAAGTCACTTGGCTCTATGAAGAATAACAAGTCACAAATTCAATTGCTTTGATTTCTCTGATAAGTATTTTTTTTTATATACAAGAGTTCCAATGCTTTCCTTTTCTCATTTTATAAAAAAGGAATACAATTAAGCTTTAAAAGAAGCAGAAATATATCTAAATATTTAAAATGAAATATGCTTTATCTAGGCTATATACAACTCAGTGCCACAGGCTTTTAGAGCAGGCCCTCTGGAGCTCTGCCCCAAACTACACAGGCTCTTATGGATGATGCACAGATGACATGTGGACATCATGGGCTGACATTATTTCCTATGACACACAGGAACAGCACCTGTATGTGTTGCTCTGCTCAGGAATAATGTTTCTAGAGGAAAACTCATGTTCTGGACATTAAAGCAGAACAGACACTGGGAACTCTGCCTTTACAACAGAGCTCATGTCTAGCGTGTGTTCGTGTGCGAGTGAGAGAGAGAGTGTATGTGTGTTTGACCAGTATAAATGAGCGATATGAATGTGAGGTTTTAAAAATGTGCGCACGTGAAGACTTGTATTTTGACCAAATACATGAATGTCTGTATTTATAATGCAATATCATAACATCAGCCTGCCCAAGGACTACGGGTGGAAATTAGCTCTTGAGCTATAACCTGGTACAATGCATCTTTCCCTGAGGATAATGTTTATTGTACACTATCCCTGTCATCTTAAACCAAACTAAACTGTGAGCAGAATGTACAGTCTGTGGAACCGCACCAACATCTCCAGGTCAGAAAACTATTCTGTAACACTGTCTAATATTGTGTGAGAATATGCATTTGATGAAGTTATATCAGCAACAATAATACTCAGCTCTCAAAAGAGACGATGCGACAACCGATTCTGTCAATGTGTCGCTGCAGGCTATTTATTTATAAAGCTAGTTTTTTTGTTAGAATAAGGAAGGAAGCTACTCGACGGTTCTTTTAGCTGGGTTTGTGCGTTCTAAGGTAGCGGTCTCCTTGCACTCTCACCAGATAGAGGTCTAGTTGTTTCTATTGAGTCTGATGTTTCCAAACGTTTCAGAGCGAGAGCCTCAAAATAAGAAAACCTGGGGGAAAAAAAGTAAACAAGTTCTTTGCTGCATATACATGACGTCTCTCAGATGCATGCTGCCACAGTCAAACGCCTGCCAGTAATGACCCTTCTTTGGCTTTGAAATGGGGTATTAATTTGTCGCTAACCAGCTGCAGTCACACAGCTCTTACATCTGCTTCTGATATTATGTACTTTGTGCATTCTAAAGCACATTCCCCGATCCTCTATAATTTATTATACACCTTTCATTCCATCACAAGTGTCCCGTTCCCGGGCTGTGCATAGATTACGATGTTTTGAAAGATCAAGTAAGCTAAAGCAATCATTCATGCATTAGTGTCACTGTGTAATTGATAACTCTTTAGGGACATTTTTGATGTTTGTGTGCAAGAGTTAGAGACTTCGAGTGTCAGAAAATGTTACTGTATAGAAAACTGGATACAGGACTCCATGATTATTTATACCTGATAATCATTTGTAGAATTAATATTTGCAATCATTGGTGTCACGGTGGCCGTGGTTTGGTTGGCACAGCCCTGGGTTTGATTCCACCTCCAAACTGGGGCCTTTCTGAGTCGAGTTTGCATGTTCTCCCCCGTTCTGTGTAGGTTTCCTCCATAAGAACAAGAAGTATGAACAATTGATCTCAACGGGTCACAAAGAGGTCTTGGTCGTCTGAGAACATTGAGGACAGACGTATGGAGAACTGAGAAGTTTGCTGCAGCCTCCTGGTGCCTGTTTGGGACATGGCAGCACAGGTTTGATTGCTGTCCTTGTACAAAAAACTTTCAGGCATGGTGCCACAGTAAAACATATGGAAGGGAAACATTTGTATGTCATTTTACCACATACACCACTCTATGATTGACAGATCGAAACAGCGAATCAGAGCGCTCCCAAGTCCGGCTCCCGAGTCCAGCGTCTGTGGTTTGGTCCCGTGGACACCACATGGAGCTACTGTTTTTCTGCTTTTGTCAGCAACTTTAAGTGTTAGGATCAACTTGGATAAAATGTGTTTTGGGCGTAAATATGTGACGCTCTATTTGGCCCGAAGGGGAAGAAAGCGGCTCAACTTTTTTCATCTGTTCATCTCATGGATATATTAGAATAACGGTTCATCTGCGACACTTCACTGAGACTGTTCCAGTACTACAGGGACAATGGAACTGGACTTACTCAAAAACTGATCTGGAAACAGGTGTTATTCCCACAATCCCCACACGGACCCCCATCTGAAGGTACAGTGACGCTAACTCGCCGTATACTTATGTGAACTAAATGGGGCTCAATAATACAGATTGTAATTGTTGGAAAAAGTTTATTCTCATGTCTGAAATGACTAAGTACCGATAATAAACAACTCAGAGCGTGATGCTACGTCACTGTGCGGGCAGGCGGAGGTGGGCTCACGGACAGAGGAGCAGACTCTTCTCTGAATCAGCCGGTTTGAGTTGAGGTGACGTCACCTCTATACAAGAGATGACTATAATCTCACAAGTTTTAAGTGTTGTATGGTGTTTCACTCACATTATTATAACACATGTGCATAGGATTGGGGACTGGGAAACATGAAGAAAAGCGTGATATAGGACCTTTAAATATTAAGTTTGACACAATATCCTTTGCATTAACTAGTCAGTGTACATATTACTTAATGTTAAGTCTTGTATTCATAAAACGTTAGTGAAACATGACCACCTGCTGTGTAGAGGACCTGGGGACATGAGGCAACTTGTTTAACAAGAGTGCCATCCTGTGGCAAAGTTAAACATCACTAGGTCACAGACAAATGCAGATCTTAGGGAGTAACTACACGTTTTCAGGCAAGTTCACTTACTTTCGATTGAAGATGGTTGAATTTTCTTTGCTTCTTGCAAATGTGCAAGGTAGTAGTCTGAGGTTGATATTCATTTTTCTGGCATTAGACATTAAAAATTTTGCCTAAAAAAAAAAAACGTGGCCAGGTAAACACATCATGGTGGTCAGAATAATAACGTAGTCTGTAGTGTATATATTTAACAAACTTACTTTCAAAGTTACTTGCGGAACCCTAATAATAGAGTCTCTAGTTGCGCCATCTGAAAACCGGCTGATATCTTCAAGAAATCTGTAATCTGCGGAAATATACGTGACAAACAGACTATCATGTATGAAACAGTCATGTATGAAACAGTCATGTATGAAACAGTCATGTATGAAACAGTCATGTATGAAACAGTCATGTATGAAACAGTCATGTATGAAACAGTCATGTCAGGGTTTGCTCACCACTGAGAAGATTCATTTCATCAAAATGCGCGAGACCCACAAAGGCAGTTTTATCCCTGACTCCACTGCATTCAGTATTTTCCTTGTGCTTTTTGACACAGAGTAAACTGCAAACACAGGGGGAAACAATTTCAATGACAAAAGCACTGAATCAAAGAATTATTAAACATTTTATTTTTCACACCTGCAGGACTGTGTCAGGCATCGGGGACACGTATACTTTGCCTCTTCACGTCCACACACCGCACAGCTGAGAACCAGAGAAATGGAGTTCAGATCTGGAGCAGTGAGTAACTAATATTTAACAACTTATTTTGTTCTTTAACATATCGTTCCAATATCCACGTTATCATTCCACATAGTGCACATATGTCGTAATTCGCACTGCTATAGTCACTTTAATTTTCTATCGTACATAATAGATCTTGCACAAAAGAGACTAGATTATTTACCTTTTTAACATGTTTACACACTCCGTCTTTTTGCACAACCTGAGTGATTCTATGTATATTTCTCTATAGTGAGTGTAATAAAACAATATCTTATCTTCATTTATACATTTATAGATTTTATGAGATAGAGTAAAGTTTAGCTAACAATGGAGGATTAGTAACACCATATTCAGTAAACCTATTATTAATGTAAATACCAAATAATTCATCATGTGTTTATCTTATCTTATTATCTGAAAGTGTCTATGGAATGTCTAAAGCAGTGTCTCCCAAAGTGGGGTCCGCGGCCCCCTGGTGGGCCGCGAGGGTATTGCAGGGGGGCCGCGGGAGGTCATAAAAAAAAATAAAAAATAATTTAATTATTTAATGTTAAATTTATAACGTTTTGTTTGTAATATTAAAATATTTGTGTTCATTATTTGACTTGAATAATCCACTGTAATCATTTTTGTATTACAATGTTTGTAGCAGAGGCTATTTCCCCAAAATAAAATAACCAGAAGAGCCTATTCTTAATGTTGTCTTCTTGGATATTATTTTGGGGGGCCACGCAGACCCGTCAGATTTTTAAGGGGGCCTCGGTGTTACTGAGTTTGGGAATGGCTGGTCTAAAGTAACAGCTTACATGAATAAAGATATCTTCCTTTTCGTTCCTTTCACTTCTTCTTCTTCGAGACAGTCGGTTTCTTGTTGAGTGTCCATATTCGACATTTAACTTGTCTTTTGGTTGTGTTCCTGAGCAGTCACTGTGTTGTGATTATAATATGTCTACGAGAACACTTCCATGTGCACGAGGAAACAACTCACTTCCTGTTTGTTTCCACGGACCGCACGTGCACACCATTTCCGGTGCAATTCTGGATGACTACCGCCCTCTGCTGATAGGAAAGGTTACACTCACAGTGGTTCACAAAGTCTAAACTTTTCTTATATAATTGAAACACTAAAATCCTTCTTTTTGAATTATCTATTTATTTGTTTTATCTATCTATCTTCTCTATCTATCTATCTATCTATCTATCTATCTATCTTCTCTATATATCTATCTATCTATCTGTCTGTCTGTCTGTCTGTCTATCTATCTATTTATCTTCTCTATCTGTCTGTCTGTCTGTCTGTCTATCTATATATGTATGATTTGCACTTGTTTTGAACTGTTTTAGTCGATCGATTTCACAGTGACATTTGTTTACTGTTTTATTTGTTTTATTTTTGTCATTTAATGTTGTTTTATGTCTGTATTTGTCTGTGCACACTGGAGACTTTTGCTAATGTATTCCAATGTGTTTTTTTTTACTGCAAATGGCAAATAAACTGAATCTGAATCTGTCTGTCTGTCTGTCTGTCTGTCTGTCTATCTATCTATCTATCTATATAAAATCTGTTGCACTTCTGTAATGTGGTCCTACCTGCATGCAAATATCCTCATCCTGTCAGACCCCAGAGACTAGCCTGGTCAGTAGGAACACCAGGAACACCTAGTGCCACCAGGTGATTAGCTGCCTTGCTTCCATCTGTCTGTCCCAGGGCAGCTGTGGCAACATCAGGAGTTTACCACTATACATGGAGTGATTAGTGACAACATTGAGTGTCATGAAAAGTGCTTCTATGGGTTCATTAGCTGGCAGACTTGTATTTCTAAACGTGTATGTATTTAAAGGAACTTGTTTTGCAAAATGTACTATACAAATAAAATGGATTGGATAATTATTTATTTATTTATTTTTTTATTTATTGTGTTTATTTGAACATTGAATAAATGTATAAGAAAGAAAAAAAACAGTAAGAACAAAACAAAGAAAATAAAGAAAACTTATTCACGTTCAAAAGGAGTAGGAAGAAGCCAAGCTTATTTAATCCTACCCCTCTTCCCTATGTCAATTCAATATATTGAATATTGAAGCAAAATATACTAATATATATACACATACATGTATATACATACATGCATACATACATGTATCCATACATACACACATATACATACATATATATATAATTACAGTTAATTAAAAAAATATTAACTTAAATGAACAGTAACAATAATTGCACCGTGTATCACCTAGTGTCTTTTTGTACCCCAGATTCATCCCTGTATCTATTCAAAACATGCTCTTTATATTTTACTTTGAACTCCTTTATATTTAGACATTGTTTCAATTCTTCACACAACCTGTTCCATATTTGTACTCCACTGAATGAAATACAAAATCTCTTTTTGTTTGTTCGTATTCTGATGACTTTAAAGTTATTTAACCCCCTTAATTGATAACCCCCCTCTCGACCCATAAAGATGTTCTGTATATTATATGGTAGTAGCTTATTAGCTGCTTTATACATTATCTGTGCTGTTTTAAATTCAACTATGTCTGTGAGTTTTAATAGTTTTGACTGCAAGAAAAGTGAGTGAGTGTGATCCAAATAGCCTGCGTTATGTATTATCCGAATTGCCCTTTTTTGTAGAATAAGTAATGGTTTTAATGAACTCGTATAATTATTTCCCCAAATCTCTGAACAGTAACTGAAATATGGTAAGACAATAGTACAGTATATGTTGCGAAGTGACTTAGCGTCTAGTACCGGTTTTGCTCTATTTAATATTGCAATGCTTCTTGACAGTTTAGTCTGTATATATTTGATGTGTGGTTTCCAGGTGATTTGATCATCTATTATAATCCCCAGGAACTTGTTTTCATTAACCCTTTCTATTTGCACCCCATCTAACCTTAGTTGTAATTTCTCTTCAGATCGGTTGTTCCCAAATAACATAATTTTTGTTTTGTTAAGATTAAGTGATAATTTATTCCTGTCAAACCATAATTTCACTTTGTTCATTTCATGAGTAACCTCTTTAAGAAGCTCTTTTAAATTGTCCCCAGAACAAAAAATATTAGTGTCATCAGCAAACAACACCAGCTTCAGTTTCTGTGAGACAACACAAACATCATTAATATACAAAATAAACAATTTAGGACCCACTACTGACCCCTGGGGGACGCCACAGGAAATGTCCAACCATGCTGAACAAACATCACCCATCTTCACAAACTGCTGCCTGTTCTTTAAATAACTTGTGACCCAGTTCAACACAATGCCTCTGACACCATATCTTCCTAGTTTTTTTATCAACAAATCATGGTTGATTGTATCAAAAGCTTTTTTAATATCAATAAATATTCCAACAGCATATTGTTTTTTTTCAAGAGCATTTGTTATATCTTCAATAGCTTCAGTTATCGCTAGTGCTGTTGATCTTTCCGACCTAAACCCATACTGGCTGTCAGAAAGCATTTTATGTTTTGTGATGAATGTATCCAGTCTATTACTAAAAAGTTTTTCTAATATTTTGGAAAATTGTGGGAGTAAGGAGACAGGTCTGTAGTTGTTGAAGTGATGTTTGTTCCCGCCTTTGTACAATGGGATAACCTTGGCTATTTTCATGCTGTTTGGAAAGACACCAGTGTGAAATGACAAGTTACAGATGTGCGTTAGCGGCTTCAGAATTCCCTCAATCACATCTTTCACCAGAGTCATGTCAATGTCATTATAGTCAGTGGATTTCTTGTTGTGACACTTTTTAACAATGTCAAGTATTTCCTTTTCTTCCACTTTATTAAGAAACATTGAGTGGGGATTTCTTTCTATTAACGCATCCATGTTTTTACCAGCTGCCCCAGGATCAGGTATGTTTTTTGACAGGTCAGGCCCCACATTCACAAAAAATGTATTAAATTTATCCGCCACATCACTCGTGTTTTCAAATATATTGTCTTTATCAATAAAGTAATCAGGATACTCATTTCGCTTCGAGCCACTTCTTATAATACTGTTTAATATATCCCACACTCCTTTCATATTGTTTATGTTGTCATCTAATCTTTTCCTGAAATAGTCTTTCTTGTTCATTCGTATAATGTGTGTCAACTTATTTTTATATATTTTATATCTATTTTCAGCCTCAGTGGTCTTTATTCTTATGAACTCTCTGTACAACGTATTCTTCTTTTTGCAAGCGTTTTGTAACCCTTTTGTTAACCATGGACAGTTGCTGTATTTTAGTTTTTTTGTATATTCCTTATTTGGACAGTTTTTAAAATACAATTGTGTAAAAACATTCAAAAATAAATCATATGCATTGTCCACATTGTTTTCCTGATAGACTGTCTCCCAGTTGTGTGCCAGTAATTCATTCTTGAGTGTGTTTACCGACTTCTCTGTCCTTAACCGCCTATATTGTGTTTTCTTATCTGTTACTTTTTTCCTGTAGTTATGATCATAGACAATGAAGACTGGCAGATGATCACTGATGTCATTAATCAGAATGCCACTTGATGTTTTGTTTTCAATGTCATTACTGTATATGTTGTCTATCAGAGTGGCACAATTTGATGTAATTCTGGTGGGTCTTGTGATTCTTGGAAACAAACTCAGACTGTACATTGTGTTAATGAATTCATCCGTTGCTTTATGCTTATTAGGATTTAAGATATTAATGTTAAAATCACCACATATGTATACCACTTTGTTGTTAGTTTTCAAAAACATGTCCTCCATCCATCCTCTGAACCTGTCAATATCTGTACCTGGTGCCCTATATATGCAGCTAATAATCACATTCTTTTCTTTTTCTTTACATAATTCAATTGTTATACATTCCAATAGATTGTCGACCACAGTTGTCATACTCTCTATTACTTTGAACTGTAGATTGATTTGCACATATATGGCAACGCCGCCACCACCCTTGTTTTTTCTGTTAGTGTACCTCAGTTCATATCCTTCCAACTCAAAGTCCATCCCTTTTTCATCAGTACTCCAAGTTTCTGATATTGCGATTATGTTGAATGACTGTGAAAACGACTGTAAATATTCTTTAATGTTATTGAAGTTCGCGTAGAGACTTCTGGCGTTGAAGTGAACAATTGCAAGCTTATCTTTTAATCTAATATGTTGGTTGAATTGTTCTTCGCTGTAGTAACGGCAATTGCTATCAACACTGCAGAAAAAATTATTATCTGGGTCAATATTCCATTCGATATCCTGTGAGTTATGCTCAGTAAATTCAAAGGTGCTCAGTTCCACGTAATCTGTGTTATTTATCCTCTCAGTTAAGTGCAGTGCATTGTTTTCCATCTTCAGAGGTGTAGTCATCCAAATGTTCCGGGAGTTTGCGTGCAGTAAATCAAATCCATAATAGACAAATCGAAAGTAATTATCCATTTTGAATCAAAGGGTCTCCAAGTTAAAGTGCAGTCATTCAATAGAAGATAATCCATACGAACCCAATACGTAGAGTCCGTGGATGAATTATTATCAATATATGTCCAAAATATCTTGAGATAATGTAATATGCGTAACTGTAATCACAAAGATAAGAAGCATGTGGGTTTTTTGTGCACCTTTTGCTGTAAGTGTAGATTGCCTACAGGGGCTGGAGAGGACAAAATTAAAACAAGAAAGATCAAATCTGATCAAATCTCTGGGAAAGGGAAATATCACAATACATGGTTGGCGCAGTCCTTGATATCTCTATCACACTTTTTTCAATATTGTTCAACCCTTGAGTGTATCATCGATAATTTTTTTCTCATTTCAAGTGTGAATTGAATGTTTTTTGGAAATTCCCCTTCCTTTACTGTATGTTGCAAAGGGTTGGGAGGTTGTGACAGTCGCTCTATAGCAGATAGCAGAGGAAAACTGTGCATGAGATGGATCAGTACAGTACATGAACCTGACCTTTGTTTGTATCAAGCATTTCTAATTTGATAACTGTACAATCAAACATTCCGATTTAAATTACATACACATTATTTTAATTTCAACCTTTTTATTTACAAATTCACAACATCAGTGTTATTATCCAGACTAATATTATTACACTTTGTAATAATAATAATAACGATAACAATATATATATATATATATTATCACATTATAATAACAATAGGGTTTTTTGGGAAGGAGTCTGATTCTGGCAATATGTAGCTGCCAGTGTACTGGTATCAGTGAAAAGATATTACACATATGCCGCATATCAATGAAGGTATAGCATTTTAAATATAGGTTTTGAAAATTGTGTTCTTGCTGATCATATTTCTCTTTGGGGAATTTAAATTATCATGGGAGAGCAACGTGCATGAGACAACACACGGGATATAAATAACCTACAGTAAGTGATCAAAATATACACAGGAGTCATAGATTCTATTAGCCTTTGCAGCACCATTGGTAGGTTTGCCCTGAAAAGATTCTACCACAATGTAATAAACGCTAGAAAAATATGAAGTGTATAAAAATGATTCATAAATTAGAAACAAATAATATTAAGTACTTGTACAACAAAACACTCAATGTAACTGGTACAAACACATTTGCAACTACACACAGTCTACTGAGCAGGTAGAGGTAGAGCAGTCAAGATGAACAAGTCCAAACAAACATGCTTTTAAAGGTTTTGTGTTAAATTATGAAGCTGAACGTTGATCTCCAAATGTTGGCTCCGCAGACACTCAGGGGCACACGTTTTGCTCTTGAATAGCAAAAAGTTCACGTGTTTAGGTGATGAGAATCAGCCTTATGTACTATCATTATTATTGCACCATGACTTTGACAGTGCCCTTATGTCCCATACTCCTTCGGCTGGTTAATCCAAGCACATCGTGTGGGCAGGATAGTGAAAAGTGAAAGTGCCTTGTCTTGTGGTCACGATTCACAATGGGTCCATAACACTTACCCTTCTTCGACCTTTGGTTTGTTTAGTATTGTTTTGTATACTCAGTTCTCACGTGGCCAAAGGACAGCCCACAGGGTCATGTTCCTGCATGGTTGTGTGTCTTCATGTGAATTTTCTTGGAGTAATTCACTTCTTTACAACCAAACAACAAAACAACAAACTCCTGCTTGATTTTATTTCCATTTTTGCTGTTAGCGTCCCAGTTGAAAGACATGCTTACAGAAAACAAACAGGGCCATTTTCAATTTCTTGCCGACTGTCTGAGTTGTATGAAGGGAAATCAAGGACGTCTACTATTGGCAGCTGACGACTGTCCTGAGAGCTGAAGAGGATTTGAGTCTGATGCCAGCGCCCATGAAGAACCTGTAAATGAAAACACAGATGGTTTCAAATCAGGTGGATGAGTTGATCTAATATTTTCTTTCTTTAACATACCTCTTCCTCTGAAATAACCTTTGGTTCTAGGAGCGTGTCTTTTTGAAATAGTTGTTTGTTCCATCCACGAAATCTTAGTCTTGTCAAATCATTGGGTAGAGATTCAGATGCTGTGACATGGAGAGGATTTCTCAGATGACGGAGTGTGAGGCTGTGGCTGGCTCCAGTGCTCAGGAGATGGATGAATTTCATCTGGACATCTCCAACACCAAACGACATCTGTGGGAAAGAAAGAGTTCAGGAGTTCTGTTGTATAGAACTGCAACTATCAATGAGCGACACAGTGGCTAATTCAGCTGTCTTGCTTCTCAGCAAGAAGGTCTTGGGTTCAAATCCCAATCGGAACAGGTCCTTACTGAGCGGCTTTTTTTGTTTGATGAGAAGGAAGACCCGACTTCCTTTAGCGCAGACGCTGAGGTACTCTAGAAAAAAAGGCTCAGACTGATCCTAAAGCGATTCCCCCGAATGAGAGCTGAATGCCACAGGCCCAGGATGTCCAAACTAAGGCCTGCGGGCTAAATGCAGCCCTCCGTTTCATTGTATGTGGCTCCCTGCCTTTCTAACCCAAAGTAGTCTTTGAGATTGTTTAAAGTTCACCGTGTCATTCAGCCAACTTCAGCTCTATCAACAAAGGCGCGTTATACTTTGTTGTGAAGCTCAGATTATCTGTAATTCAGTTATTGACTTTGTTTGACTAAACTGACATCTCTTTTTGATTGTATGACGCTAATGTACAGTATCTGTTGTACATTCAGCCAACAGCTCTGTCAAATGTGAACCAATATAGACATACCTCATTTTAAAGCTCAGAACTGCCCATATTCAGTCAATGCTACCCCTGCCATAGCACAAAAGCATCAAAGGCATTGTACAGCGCTTTGAGTGTTTTGCAAAGGTTGAAAAGCACAACTCAATGTGACCATTTACACTGTACATAAATGTGACCCTTTAGTTACATCATATTTTTGCTTTCAGAAGTACAGCTTTCACGAGCAGATACACTCTTGTGAATGTGGACAGTCTATACCTGTTCCTGAACCCCTGGACACTCCCAAACAACACATACATGAGCACATAGTAAAATGCTGCCCCCGACTTATCCCTCACAATGACAGTATTTTAAAAGAATAATATGTATCCACATATTTAGAAGCCGAAAGCTCAACATCCCCATTTAAATCATGTAATACCTTTATCCCTTTATTAAAACATATCTTTTAATACACATCCATACATTTTTTTTTGTTATTTTGTTGTTTAAATGATTACCTTATTTGGCCCTTGAGGATGTAAACAGGTTTGCCCGCCTGCAGTAAAATTACAGAAGACTAGGAAAGCATCGGTGGTACAGCCAAGATTAGGATCAACCCAGTACCAATCTGCAAATGTCAGAGATTAAACTTTACATAAGACAATTTGTAACTCGACAGCAAATATTAAAGAGGCTTTAAGCAACTTTTTATTTGAAAAAAATAATATACATTTATATATCCTAGCACTGCACTTATATATATTGTGTAATTGACTTTGTAGTGACCATGAGGCTGTAAGAGTGGGCATCATGGTACTTTCTATCACAGTGGTCTCAAGGATGCTATAAGATCAATAATATGAAAAAAGTTCACTCTTATGTGTAATGTTTAGACGGTAGGACCAATGCGAGGTCCGTGCGTGCGTGCCGAGAGGTCCATGCGTTTTGACGCTCGAACGCGCGTCACCTTTGACTTTGCATTGAAAGCAGACGCAACGCATGATCCGGTCTGAACGCGGCTTTAGTCTGACGAAGGCAGAAGTCTACCGTCGAAACATGTCAGGTGATTAAGCAGTACTAGCTACTTTACACTTGTCTTATAATAATAGCCTTCTAAGCCAATAAGGACAATTGTTTGGAATGTGTTCTCTGTGGGACCCCTGCACCTGGATCACTGACACTGTGATCAAAAGTAGAGGCATCATGACTGCCACTCTTATAGCCACAAATACACCAAAGAAAATTATATTTCTTCACATATAAAGTCCTATAATGCCCATCTTAATGTTTTACCATCTTGGAATTTGTGTTGACAGTTCAGCAGGTCTTTGCAAATTCGCGCTGGGTTCTCCCGTGTTCCCAGAGGAGTTTTGATGGTCTCAATCACACTGGTAAGATACTGCAAGGTCTTGAGGATGTCTGAGGTTTGGTCAACAAGACTCATTTCAGTGTTTTGGAAAGCCTGGGAAAGAATAGTGCAATGAAAGGAACGCACATGGTACATATACACGACAATGCAAAAGGCTCCATCTGGACTGGCCGTCTAACCTCAGTCATGTAAGTAGTGTCGAATTGGTCATAGACTGCCGAGTCATCAAATATCTGCTTCTGCGGGTAAAACACACAAGCTGATTAATCATGCAACGCTTTACTTTTGGCAGTATTCATTTTGCAGTATCCAGTATTCATCTTGCTTGCATAAAGAGAAAAGTGAAACGATGAATGTTTAGATTGTAAGCTGTAACGAAAAACTAAGCAGCCTGAACACATAGACACAGTATTTAACGTAGGCAGGAGAATAGCACTACAGATAAACATTGTAGGATTCTCAGATCCATAGAGATATCTTTGAATAAACTGTACTTACAGATGGACCTGGGGCTCCTGGTGGTCCCTGTTGTTAGAAAAACACAGTTAAACCTTCTGTAGATTATATGAATACTGTATGTAGAGTCTGTACAGGAAAGAGATTCACACTTACTCTGGGGCCTGAACTGCCTTTGGGCCCTTGAGGTCCCTGAAAGAAATAAACACAAAATACTATTATGGATAAATATAGAATGATTTCTACAGGGTAAAAATGTGACACTGTAGACTCCCAAAAGATTGCACTTCAAACCAAAGTTTTACTTCAGAAATAAACTTTCTTTTTTGGAACGTTCCATGCACTACATCTATATCTGCACGGTCAAGCTAAAGCACTATGGACACTTGACTTAGTCTGTCCTGCCTAGGGGTGGGCGATATATATCGTAGACGATAGTATCGCAAAAGTGAATTTGACGATATTCTTTTTTGCAATATTTTTTTTTTTACATATCTCCAATACATCTTTCACTTAGAGCAGGCAAGATGCCCATTCGTCAAATGCGTGCCTAAAGTCCAATCACTGCTGTGTTTGTACTGAAAGCCTACGTGACAAACACTCATCTTTACGTCTGCACCTGAAGGCCTCACCACGTGAATGGTAGACGCTGCTTTGACATGCAGGGACACTGCGAAACGGAGGAAAAGACTTTGTGCATTGTCTGTGCGTTTTCATGACCCAAGAAGGAAGTTCCTGTAGTTCTTGTGATCTTTAGAAGAGTCTGGGAAGACAGATTTACGTTGTATAGTTTGTCATTATTTACAAAAGAGAGTTTTCCAGATCTGTGTTTGTCTGCAGCTAATGGGCTATATGCACGGGGAGGCGTGACGTCATTTCCTGTTAACAAAATACAGCCCGTTCACTTCCTGCCTATGCTATCCTATGGCATTTAGGTGGGTTTTAGTGACGTTTTTTAGTAATTAGATTGATACATTCAGCTGTGAGACTGACCCAAAAGTGTCGCTGGGCTTTATCTCTGAGGTAGAGCTTTGACTGTGGCCACTCAGAGAGATTTGTAAACTTTATAAAAACACAATGACAGCACAATCAAGCAAGAGCATTGCTGTGTCCCAAAAATGCCCAGTATCCTCACAGTTTAATCCCAGTTTGAGCATTATTTGGGAAACTCGTGTAAACCACTGCTGAACTCCAGTGAAACTCAAGCCATGTCCTGCGAACAGGAAGTGAAGTGGGGTAGTAGCTAAAACACGGAAGTGGTGCGTGCATAGAGCCCATTAAGCTAACTATGCTACATTAAGCTAATTATGCTATTATTATATGTCATATTTACTTCCCTGCACCTTTGTAATGCTAGTTTCCATTTGAGCTACCTCTGTTTGTGGTTTACATCACTTATTTTATGTCAACTTTATATAGACCTTAAAGGGGACCTATCTTGGATTTTTATGTTATTAATTTCATGACTTATTTTAGTTCCTACTAGCCCAGACACGTACGCTATTGACTTTTTAATGTGTTATTTGCTATAGAATAATTATTAATACTGTTTTTTGTTGTCTATTTCTGTTTCCTTAGCCACACACAATTGCACACTCAACAACAATACAATGTACAAACTGTGATCACATGCCAAACCTGCCATAAAGCTGGTTATAGATTATCTAACCGGAGTCTGTCGATAGTGTCCCCAACCATAAAAGAACCTCTCCGTTCTTCAGTGTTCTTTCCGTGTAACTTGAATTTGGTTTTTAATGTTAATGTATGTTTGTGCATGTTTTGCAAAGATGTGTGAAGCACTTTACAAAGTGATATTTTGATCTACACTGTCTCCATCTATAGATGCCCTGGTAAGAAAAATATTGCAGATAATTTTGTGTAAAAAAAAATGATTTTAAAGATATTGTGACAATATCGTTATCGTGAGTTATGGAAAAAATATTGAGATATTTATTTTTTCCCATATCGCCCACCCCTAGTCCTGCCTGCTTGCTCTTTGTCACAGGCTGCACCCTTGCAATGGAATATAGTCCGGAAAATGGGATTATAAAGGACTTCCTTCTTCCGCTGTACCTGAGTATTTAACTTCAGATCTACACTTTGACTTTCCACAGACTGGAACTTCTTTCAGAAAACTATTATTACGAAGAACTTTTTACATGGTTGAAATGTTTTGATGGTTTTATCATAAAGGCATTAAAAGAGATCTTTGAATAAAGGTTACACATGATGCTTACCATTTCACCTTCACTTCCTTTTGGACCTCTTGGACCCTAAATATAGGAAAATAAATAATTTATATTTTCATCTGCAGATTTAGACAAGTTGAAGATCAATGTGGAAATTGCTTTGCTAAAAAATACACTGTATTGTTTATATATTGGGTATTGACATACGGGTTTTCCCATTGGGCCGATCATTCCTTCAGGGCCCACAGGTCCAGAGAAACCCTGAAGAATTAAAATTTACAATCATTGCCATAGTCTTGACTAGTGGTTCCCAAAGTGGGGTTCAGTAACTATACTTACCCACATTCCCACTGGGCCTTTAGGGCCAGGTACACCCTTCAGTCCATAATCACCAGTCGGCCCCTTTGAAAAGATGATATATGTTTATGTCAATGGAAAATGGACATCATCTTTTTAAATTAAAATAATGTAATCCTTGTACCATTAACAAGATTCACAAAAACAATTAGTAAACTATCTGCCCAAAACTGTTATGTTGCTAATCAAGAAAATTGCTGGTAACAAACCCAATTGAAAACATAAAAAAGTACCTTTGGTCCAATAAATCCTTGCAATCCAACCATGCCCACATTTCCAGATCCCCCCTAAAGAGTCAAAAACATCACATTAGCATTTTCAGGATGTTTAAAGATTAAAGAGAACATTCATTTGAGGTGATGTCTGGAGTGGGCCTTTCCACAGAGACAGAGGTCAGATGTGAGTCAGTCTGTCCTTCAGAGTGGCAGTGTTTGTGCAGCCTGTGAGTGGTATCCTAAAGACAGCTCCACTTGCAGGTCTGTGTCTTTAGGAGAACACTGCTATTCACTCAAGTAGAACTAGATATGACCCAGGAGCTAAAGTCTGCTCTCTTTTTCACCACGATCAATGGCGATAACCAGACAAGGAACAGGAGGAATATATCTTTTTCCCATTTCAGGAGTTATATAAGAGGAATGGAGCACCTCATTTTTCAAATTTCTCAAGAATGAGCTTCTTACATAACCTGGACTATTAAAGGGTGGCATGGATTATGGGCCTAGGAAATAAGTCGTTTTACTTTTTTAACTTTACTAACAGAAACAACACATTCTTGTCAAACCGCACTGGCAACTCAGGGCTCAAATTAAATTTAGAAACATCTAGAAAATAACCCAATCCTTTATAAAGACATTGTCACACTTCATTATACAAAGGATAAAAGTTGAAGTAGTCCTTTCATTCAGTGACTATAAGAAGGTGCCCTCTACACAGAAAGTCATAGGGGTATAATTATCAAGGGCTTGCAGGTATGCGAAATTAATTGGAGCAAACAGATCTATTCTAGATATATAGAAATATCAATTACGCTAAACTTTATATGCATTCATTAAAACTGTTTTAATTGATTCACCAATATTGAAAAGTGAAAGTCAAATGCTTTGAATGCAACTGTAAAAGAAAAGTTCACTTTACTGACATACCATACTTTTGTCTTGACTTTTTAACTCATGTTCCAAAAAAAGATGGGAATAGCACGTCTGTTCTTCAGTCCATCAAACTGTACTGATGCCAGAGCGTGCTGGTCTGTGGTCACTCGTAAACATATGATGACTGGTTGTTGTGATCACAGCTGTGTATATATTTAGGCCTATTTGAGGAGTTAGTGCAGGCTTCTATAATAATCTGTAAATGAAATTATCATCTAGCAGTGGAGACAGACCAGCTCCCATTTACATTGAAGCACAAAAACAGTACTTTACTTACTTTACAGTTAGTCGCGTGCAACACATCTACTAAAATGGAACATTTAGTGCGCACATGCATTTTAGCACCTGGGTTGATAAATATACCCCATGGAGTTTTAACTTTTGTTCATTCAAAGCTAATCTGCAATCACATGTAATCACCATTGGACCCGTTAAATTGCCGTTTGTTTACAAACAAACAGCAATTTAAGGGGGGAAATTGCTAATTTGAGTCAATGGTTCTCTAATGGCATCTTCAGAAATATAAAAAAAATGAAGTACTGAATTTTTATTGGATAGAAAAATGCTGAATTGATACATCTTTAGTTTAAAAAGTTATTTTTGTGTCGGCCTATCATAGGGCAGCTGTGGTGACAGTGGAAAGGAAGGAATAACCACAGTGCAGTACTGAAAACTATTGTATTTATTAGTGCCTTCTACTTTAATTGAAATGACTGGAACAATACCACTCACAGGTTGTCCTTTAGCTCCAGGATCTCCTTTTCTTCCCTGGTCACCCACTGTGCCCTCCAGGCCTTTTATACCTGCAACCCCACTGTCTCCTGGAAGGCCTCGATCTCCCTGAAGAAACAAACGGGAGGTGAAAGGTTACATTTTGAACACTTTGCTCGGGAAAAGTTGACGTAAAAATGCCATTTCTCACCTTCAGGCCATCCAGGCCTCTTTCCCCTGGAAGACCAGGAAGCCCTAGTTCTCCTCTCAGACCAGGACGTCCCAGTGGTCCCTCTGGTCCAACCGAGCCTCTCTGACCCTAGGAATATTGTCACGTTGTTTTGTTACTTTAATAAGCGTTAGAGAAAATCTGTAGTGTCTTTGTCAGTTTGTTATATGTGGTCATTTTCAAGCATATGAGTTTTTTGGGTCCAATGCACATGCAGATATAAAAGCAAAGAACAGTTGATGGTATATATATATTATTATTATCATATATGAATAGGATTCTTGTAAAATGAACATGAATAATCAAATGAATCAAGTAAAAGGATTCAATGGGTGAGAGTGCAATTGAAGGATTGCTCATGATTGTGATCAGAAGTGAGAGGTCGTTGGGTTCGTTTATGTGTGTCCTTTCGTATGGTTTAACTCTAATTATTTAGTTTAAGCTAATTACTTAATAACTGAGTTTAAGGAGGCGACAGTGGCTCAGTTGGTAGAGCATTGGCCTTTGAGCCTGAAGGTCATGGGTTTGAGCCCACCATGATACCTTCTCCACCGACTCCCACTGACGTCTGCTGTCATTGTGTCCTTGCACAAGATACTTAACCCCACTTTGCCTGAAGCCCCTGCTGAAAGATCAAGGCTATGCCATAGATCAGCCATCCTCCTGTAGACTCACCACCTGCAGGAAATGAGTCTATACTCTTATAGGTATTGACTATAGGTATAGGTGGTGAGTCTTATACTTAGCTACACCACCTAGAGGCTACTCCACTTATGCTGCTGTGACCTAAAGGGCTGTTGCTGATTATTACTATTATTATGTTTTTAGAATGATCAATTTTATTTAAATTTTTGCTGCTACTGGACACCTGAATTTCTCCTACGGGAATCAATAAAGTATCTACTGTATCTATCTATCTACTTCTTCATATAAAGTGTGCGTTAGGTCAAAACAAGCAGATCAATATTGTATCAGCAGTTTTAGTGCCACCTGCACAATGAAATGTGCTGCCATCATCTCCACTTGTGGCCCCAACCCCTCCGCCTGGAGATCATCCTCCTGAAAACTACATTCTGTTCGGAATGTAATTCACCACAATAATCTCTTACCATCTTGCAAGGGAATTATCTGTTTTTTTATTTATTTATTTTTTTACTTTCAGGGGCGACTAAAAAGGAACACACACGGTCTACAGGCTATGGTAGTAAAGGTGGGCTCTGGATACACACTATCCAAACTTGCATATTTTAATTAATAAAAACAAAATAAAATTGTGAAGAAATGTCACAAGGGATTGAGGATTAAGGTGGAGAAAATGGATGGATGGAAGAAATGTCACCTGTCTTCCTGTGTTTCCCGGAGCCCCCGGGGGGCCTATCAGTCCAGGGGGCCCGTCAAGACCTGGGTAACCTTCTACTCCTGTGGGTCCAGGTAAACCAATGCGTCCCTTTTGAAATAAAAACATATTATTCACTGTATCAGAGTCGTCTAGCTTTCTTCTTTAACAGTCACAAAATATCAGATAATTGATGTTAAAGTAAGGATTGTGTTTATCAGCAGCGGTTCACAGACTTTTCACTCAGGTACTTCAGTAAATCTCTGTGACTTGCAAAAGTACAGCGGTATATGGAGGTATCAAAGTATTAGTACATTCGTCCCCTGTAGCTGCAGGCGGCTTTCTGCTCCTGGTGCAGACAGCTCCTTGGATGACGCTTCTTCAGTTGGTTACTAGCCTTATTTGTTTTTCTGGGTTGTGTCAATTTTACTCATTTGAAGTGATTTTGTGTGTGTATGTGTATGTGTGTGTGTGTATTTAATAATAAATGTGGGTTGGGTCTGTTGGGTTGTCGAGTGGGGGGGTCATGGGGATGTGGGATTGTTTTTAACCAAACTGTTAAAGTAAAAAAGCGCTTTATAAATACAGTAGAACTCACTTCCACACCAGGTGTTCCAGACAGACCTCTTGCACCTTTCTTTCCCACAGGGCCCTGTTGAAGAAAAGAGAGGATGAAGCCTGTAACAGCGGATCAATGTTCAGATCACCTGGACAGACTATTCTCTTGTCGTGTACATGGAAAAGACTTGTAAAGCTCTGTGTGAAATGTGCTATTTTTTTAATTTCATTAGGGACAGTACACACTAATCAACATTACTGTAAATGTGCCAGTATTAGAACCTAGAGTAGGTTCCAACTGTAGTCCCTAGACAAGCAAATATCCATCCATCCATTTTCTTCCCCTTAATCCATTTCTGGGTCAGGGGGGTGGTAATCAGGGCTGCACCCAGTCCACAGAGCCCCAGCCCTTCACTGATCCTGCTGCAAATGTCTTGCCCAAGGACACAACGACAGCAGAGATGGGAGTCGGTGGAGAAGGTCTCATGGGGAGATTGAATCCATGATCTTCAGGCTCAAAGGACAATGCAATACAAATTGAGCAACTGTTGAGATTGTACATGAATAAAAACTACTTACTTACTTATTTTTAAATAATCATAGAATGTACACTGGAAAAGGACATTGCTCACCAGCGAGCTTGGTGAAGGCTAATAATATATAAAAGTGATGTACACATGGGAAAAGTTGTGTTCCACTCGTTCATGATACCCTCACTCTGGGTTTAAAAACACCAGGATCATGGAGAGTAGAAAAGTCAAACCAGAATTAAAAATAAGAGCTGGCCTAGGGCTGATAGTGCAAAAGTATTTTATTTGTGATGGTTTGTTGAAACCATCACAAATAAATACTGTCGCCCACAGTAGCTCAGTTGGTAGAGCATTGGCCTTCAGGCCTGAAGGTCGTGGGTTCAATTCCCACCTCTACACCTTCTCCATCGACTCCCACTGATGACTTCTGTCGTTGTGTCCTTGGGCAAGACACTTAACCCCACTTTGCCCAAAGCCCCCGCTGAAAAGATCAAGGCTATGCTCACACTCAGAGAGCAGCCGTCCTCCTGTGGACTCACCACCTGCAGAGGGTCAGTGAGGGGCTGGTGCTATGAGACTTGGGTGGCATCTCTGACTGCCACCCCCCTGACCCAGAAATGGATTAAAGGGTAGAAAATGGATGGATGGATGGATGGTTTGTTGAAAGCATCTGTGGCTATTTCTTATATTCATGTTTAGGGTGATATTTTAACCAAAGGGCTAATAGAGGAAGAGGTCACGCCACAGTGTTTTATAAGTGAAGAGAGTACATTTAGGCTTTGGTTACTTACAAGTAATCCAGTCTCTCCTTTTGGACCTGGTTCTCCGGCCAGTCCAGGGGATCCCTGAACAACAAGTTTCATTACATTAAACACGTCATTATATATTGTGCATTACATGAGGATCTTGGTGTGTTAGTTTTACCGGCAATCCAGGCGGCCCAACAGCTCCACGAGGTCCAACTACACCAACGTGGCCCTAAGGAATACAAATGACAAATATAAATGCCTAAAAGTATACTTACAAATGAATCATGCTGAGACACACTTTTCTCAAACTCACGAATGTTTCTCAAATGGGACATAAAGTATACCTAAACCTTACATATTTTAAACTGATTTAAAGATGTGTTTAATACAGCGCCATGGAAACACAGGCACAAACAAGTCTACCTGATATCCTTCATCACCCGGCTCTCCACGGTCTCCACGTTCACCAACAGGCCCCTATGTTTCCAGAAACGTTGCATGAGATTATACATAAACAAACTCATACAAAGTCCCTGGCTATGAAAGAGTGTCTTGTGTGGATTTATCTCATGTCAATGATGGTTCACCTACTGGTTCACCTATGGTTCCTGGTGGTCCAGGGTTTTTATTGTCCTCTCCTGGGTATCCCTTAGAAGAGAAATACGTTATTTTACACAGTCAATGCATGTGAATAGATCCATATAACTTGTCTAATTGTGTTTTAATACCTTTTCACCTTTAGGCCCTGGTGGTCCAATAGATCCAAGCTTTCCAATAGGTCCCTTTAAAAGAAAGTATTTCATTCATTCCACCTACATGATGCAGCATGTTCCCGCTACAAAGGTAAATGCAAACTGAGACAGCTGTCAGCATATTAATCACAAGTGTTTAATGTAAATAACATTATCTTTACCTTTCCTTCATCTCCAAGTTTCAAACTGACTTCATGCCAAAAGTCTCGCAACAATACTAAGAAGTGCCCTGCAGAACCTAAACATCTGAGTGAACACCTGAGCTTCTATTACACTTTTATTCCAAATATTATTATGATATCATTATATATTGTAGGGCGTTAATATGTAATACATTCAAATGCAAACTGAGACAGCTGTCAGCATATTAATCACAAGTGTTTAATGTAAATAACATTATCTTTACCTTTCCTTCATCTCCAAGTTTCAAACTGACTTCATGCCAAAAGTCTCGCAACAATACTAAGAAGTGCCCTGCAGAACCTAAACATCTGAGTGAACACCTGAGCTTCTATTACACTTTTATTCCAAATATTATTATGATATCATTATATATTGTAGGGCGTTAATATGTAATACATTCATATTGTAACACAATGCACTACTTTTTCCATATTTCACATGAATCCTATTTCACTGATCAAGGTTGTTTCTGAATGGTCAACTGTTGGTTAGACATGAAGTTGGGGAGGATTTTAAAGCATTGTTATGTCATACAAAAATTGACACCTCACAAAGAACGGTTTTACCCAATATTATTACACACTGGGAATGGAAACAATATGGCACAACAACAAAGTCAACAATAATCACAGATGCAGTGGCTGTATCTAAAAATTGGTGTTCACAAATGCACCTGATCCAAACTCTGTAATGGGATAGCTTGAGCTGTTAGGCAAAGAAGTATGAAAAGAAAAAAAACTGCACATGCGTTAGCCTGGTCGTACCACACCATAGTACAAATTACATTTCGTACTAAGACATGCAGGGAAACTATGATTGAGCAGAGTGTACGGATGGCTAAGACCAGGCTACATATGCGTATCTGAGAGTCAGGACGCAACATGGAGAGGCTGCGGTCTGTGCAGCTAGGATATGGAACAGTTTTCCTGAGGTTGTGAGACAACACTGACCATGACTTATAATGTCACTTTGCTGCCCTTTATAATGTCACTTTACTTTACTGCTGTCACCTAATGTCACCCTTGTATATTGTATATAGTAATTGTAATAATTCTATTTTAATCCTTAAAGTAAAATTTTCTTTCTTTCTTTTTTATATATATATATTATTATGCCTTCTCTACTCTTTACCTCTCTTTCTGACTGTTGCACTGAGCCAAAACAATTTCCAAGTTTGTGACTTCCTGTTACTTACATGGCAATAAAAATTATTCTGATTCTGATGTTCAAAACTGAAAACATATATATTTTTCATCTTGAATTGCCTTGTACACAAATTGTGCTATACAAATAAATGACTGATTGATTGAGTGAGTGAGTACTCAATTTTCTCCTACCTAATTATAAACCTAATTATAAAGTGCTTGTCTGGCCTCTGTCTGTGAAATGCGCTATATATAAAACATTGCTGTTTTGTTTTCTTAAAGGCATAATTACATCAGAAATCATTTTGCTTTCACTCTATCTCTGTCTGCCATTTGCTGTAGTCTCACACAAAAAAAGCGTTGTTTGTGGTTGTGACATGACAAAATGTGCAGATAAAAAGTTTATGTGGTGTGAACAAGCCACTGTATATAAATCACGACTAATTCTAGAAAACAGTTTGAGTTCGGAAACCAGGCAACTCCAGAGAATAGAGGAGGAATAAAGGAATATTTCTTACAGTGAATCCTGAAAGACCAGGCTGACCTTCCAAGCCCATGACACCAGGAGGACCCTGAAACATGTAGATCAGATACAATTCAATTTACAGTATTTATTTAAATCAAAAGAGAGCCAGAAAAATGACAATAATGAAAACTTACAGGTGTGCCCCGCGTTCCTCTGGCACCTTTCAGCCCAGATTCGCCCGCTTGGCCAAACTCCCCTCGCTCACCCATCTCCCCTGCAGCTCCAGGAGGCCCCCTCTCTCCCTGAACATATAACAATTGTCTTATTGGTACCAAAGATGGTACTGTCAACATGTTGGACTATATACTGTAAAGTCTACATTTCTCTGTTTAATGAAAAGTGTTAAACCAAAAAAAATCTTGTATGTGTAAGCATTAGCATGGACCAATCTTTAACTAATTGGTTTTAAGCTGAGTTACCAACATATACTTTTAGTAACTTGCACTTTTTATTGAACTGTATTTTAATAAGATAAGATAAGATAAACTTTATTGATCTCACACTGGAGACATTTACTAGTCACATTTGGCATAGATAGAGTCACTCAGATTGTGCAAAAGGACAATTTAGTAACTTGCACTTTTTATGTATGGGCAAGTTATATCATTGTATTGTCAAGGACTGCAGATGGAAAGTAGCTGGTGTTATATCTGGTGTACATCTTCAGTACAACTGCACATTGTCCTATAATAAATTAAACCTTAAAACCTTAGAGAAACATCTTACCTTCTTCCCCGGCCGTCCTCTGTTTCCTGGGGATCCAAGTTTTCCTTCTGGACCCTTTAACAAAACATGATTTCATTTATTTTTGCTGAGTGAAGGTTGAATCAACTACTGTACCATAAAGATTTTTTTAAGTACTGGTTGTATTGGGAGGTTCTCATGATGGTTTAGTTTGGGGAAAGGCTGACATCTAGTGGAAAAAGAACAATAGGATGTTCTAAAGATGTTTCTTACTGTCTTTAAAGAGTACAGCAATCACAACAGTTGCTTGAATCTTTACTTGTAGATAGTGGTCATAAGGTCATAAGGAAGTCATCAAAACCAGAATTTAAATATTCAAACTGGCAACCCAAACGGCAGACTTATGAGTGGCTCAAATTGCTCTATAATTGGACCAAAACCGCCGAGAACCATATCCCTAACTCAGTATGGGAAAGAAAAGGCTTTAAAAAAATAAAAAAAAACTCACACGGAAGCCCTGTTTTCCAGGTTCACCAGAAGGCCCCGGGGATCCTGGGTCTCCCTCTTCTCCCTTATCTCCTGGTTCACCAATAGGCCCATTGTCACCCGGCTCTCCCTGGATACAATGTTAAATTATTATCTTCACTTTCTCTGAACAGTTGTAGGAATTGATGCTCAGTCTTTTTACTTTTGATCCATCTTTCCCTTGAGGTCCATCTTCACTGGGAGGTCCAGGAGGCCCCTGGGACAGAACATGGACACAGGCTTTAATGATCCACTCAGGATTTGTAATTGGTAATTGAGAACGAGATTCTCGAGAAAGAAATGAGAAGCAAGAGTAACTATGAATGGTGCTTACTCTGATTCCTTGTGGCCCCTGCTCGCCCTCAGGTCCAAGTGCCCCAGCATCCCCCTGTGGAGACAACAGATACAAGACTAGGTTCTTAGCTTACATGTCATCACTCTCAGATTGTGTGTTTCAGCTTCAGATCGCCTGTGGTGCTAGAGACTGGATCTCCATATGTCAAATAATTCAATCATTACACTGACCTTCAGGCCTGGTTCTCCAACGGCCCCAGATTCCCCCTCTGCACCAGGTGGACCCTAAAGTCAATAAGGTAATAGATAAACCATTCATATTTCTTGTACCTTATAAATAACAATTCAAACAAACAAGTAAATACTTGATATAGTTAGAGCAAAACCTAGAGATCAAAATTACTTCAAGTCCTTGTTCTCCCTCTTGCCCAGGCTCCCCAGGTGGTCCTTTAGGTCCCTGTGAAAAATATACACACCACATAAGCTTCACATGAGGTTCAGTCTATCATCAAAGACATGACATGTTTGTGGTACTATAACATTTTATTTATGGTGCGGAGAAATCTGATGTATCTGATATTTGCAATAACAGATATCTCTGTTTTGAAAATGTGTCAAAAGGTTGTATTCCTCGAGCTCTTATCTACAACATGTTTTTGTATTAGCAGTAAATCTGAAAGGGGGTAAAAGTGTATTTGTATGGTACTATATCTGGCTTTTCCTTTTTCCTTTTGTTACAACATAGATATTGTGTTATGAGCGACCAACAATTGTGACATTAAATTAAAATGTATTATATAAGACATTTTTAAAATACATATTTGTACCTCCTTAGTGCTTTTGGTCGACAGAAAGTGAGACACATGGTGCTGATGTCCATCACATTTTACCATTGTTTAAATGTCCTGTTATCGGCCCTCACATGATTTGTTAAAAGAACACAGTCCTTAACAACTTGAAGTATACTGAGATGATGGACTCTACATGAAAGTTAGGATTACATTGACTATTCAATAATCATTGGGGGAATGTTTCCATTATTGTCCTAAAGGCAATCTGAGAAAAGGGGACTTAATACACACTCTATAGTTCAGTTTAGTGCATGTGGAATCACAGGGACAAAAAATTTGATTATAAAAATACCATAATTAGCAACAACTTACTGGTTCACCCACAGAGCCTCTTTCTCCAGAGCTCCCTATCAGGCCTGGGTTACCCTTAAATATGCACACACAAACATGAAGAATAATTGAATAAGAACAAAGTGAGACAGGTTATTTTTCCCGTACACTGATAATGTGTTGTTGCAATAGTAATCCTGCTAATTGGGTAATAGCAGAAAAATCATCGGCAATGTTCAATGCTGACCTAAAAACCTCGTATGTAGTTTTTGCTTACTGGTTTTCTAATCTTATAGGATATGTCTTGCCCTGCAGGTAATACACAGGTAGTTGCTCCTTCAGCTCTGAACAAGAATTATCTACCCTGCTCCGACCCAAATGAGAGACTCGAGTGATGGTTATTGTGCTTTCTTGTTGATAGCTTGCCTGGATCAGCTTGGTGGGATCTGCATGGACCAGATTCAGAGAAAAAATGTGTAACCTTACAGATGTTTCCGTGATAGGCCGTTTAAAGTTGCGGCCAGATTGACAGCTGATGTTGTTACCCATAGCCTCTCCCAATTTGAGCTAACTATACAACATTCCATTGACGGGATCTGAGAGACACATTCTCTCATAGCATCCTCATAGCAAGCAAGCCTGGTCTGTTCTGCTTATGCCATTTGCAAGGCCAAATTCTGGGATAGAAGGCCCCTGATCTATTATTAGGGGTCATAGCTCAACATATTTCAACATTTTTGAAGCCCAGAATAGAGCGTGACACGGACAGTTACAGGGTAAGAAGAGTTTACATTTCAATGATATTGCAAGCAGGAGCAAAATGTCCATGAGGGATCAGCTAGCATGGGGGTTAGCACTGTCCATACCTTTTGGTGTGTATACTGTGTGGGAAAACCTGATGCTATTGTAAATTGAATACATGGTTTTAGCTTTTTCACATGGATTGCAAACTTATCACACCGTGGTGTTACAGTATCACAATTCTACTCATCATGCACTTGCAGAAATCATTATCCAAGCTTTAGACATGATGCTATATTCATCCATCCATCCAGTCCAATTGTATAACAGAGCATTATTAAAATTTGTGTAACATTTTAATAATAAATTGGGTCTACAACTCACAGGTTTTCCAGGGAGGCCTCTTTCACCAGGTGGACCAGCTTTGCCCTTGAAAAAACATAAGTAAATGAACTATTACATGTGAACTGTATGTTATTATAAAATGAGATGTGATGAAAATGATAGAATTGTGTGAAAACACAGAGGGCACTCACGATGAATCCAGGTTCGCCTTTTTTTCCAACATCACCCTTTTCACCCTGCATTAGAAAGTTATGGCTGTGACGGTCCAATTAATAGAGAAGAATAGAAGATACACTTTCATTCCATGGATGCAATTTAAATAGTTACCCTGATGCCCTCTGCGCCAGATTCTCCCAGGGGGCCATCGAGACCTTGTGGACCCTGAAAAAGAACATCAGCAGATCATCATTTACGTTTCAGTTCATACATTATACAAATGATGTTGGTTAGAGCTGTGCCAAGTTGAAAGATTGCAGTGTCCATTTTGGTTTGGTTTGAGTCTCGATCATAATACAACAACCAAATGACAGCAACAGCCGATAAATGTTATATACATATATCCATACATATATATATATATATATATATATATATATATATATATATATATATATATATATATATATATATATATATATATATATATATATAGAATAATAATTGTTTTTTATTTGGTCTCAGTTGGATGCAGAATAGTTTCTTAGTGCTTATGATGCCTATGAAGAAGCAACATTAGTCTGACTGTTAACTTACTACTTTTTGAATTATACTAAAACAAAAATCAAGAAAAAACAACCAACAATTCAAATCTACACAAAGTCCCATATGCATATTTAGTGATTCGAGTACCTCACTTCCTGTTTTGCGTCATAACGACCTTTGTTTGTCCCAACAAAGAGTATTTTTTCAAATCAAGAAATCAGACCACAATGTGCTGCCTTAATCTTATTAGAAAACATTTTATCTTTTACTCAGAATACATTTGCTGAGTGAGGGCAAAATGACAGAGGACAAACATAAACATTATTTAGAACTAGAAAATAGTTCAAAAGATGTATTAGTTTCAAAGTTCTCCAGCTTCTATTTTCTCATAACCACAGGGTGTCAGTAGATATCACTAGATTGTTGTGTATAACCTCTGCCCAGGAGGTGAAGTGATAACCAGCATTGTTTGTTTGTTTGTTTATGAGCAACGGAACTCAAAAAGTTTTAAGTTTGATTTCAAAGGTATTGAACTGCATCTACGCTCCATGAGTGCCTTTCTAGTAATCAATAAAGTCAGTATTCCAAGATCCAGAGAAAAGCATTTGTTAATATTGAAAAGCCAAACTGTGATTTACCCTTCTGCCTTTTGGTCCAGCAATCCCAGGACCACCCCTCTGTCCTTGAGGACCCTAACAAAAACAAAGATATTATTCAGCCAGAATAATAGGCAAGGATTCAGAAAACTAAAATGCAATGTTTTTTGTGACACTTACCAGTGCACCTTGTAACCCAATGTCTCCAGGACCTCCTGGTAACCCTGGGTAACCCTGACGGAAAAAGAAAAATGTATATAAGTACTTTTTACTAAGACAAAAAAAGCATTTGTGACGCACATCTGATGGTCCAAATGGATTGGTCCAAATGGATTGGTCCAAATGGATTGGTCCGAATGGACCAATCTGATGTGCCTATCACTCAGAAACATAATGCACACTTTACAGACTACAAAAAGTTGATTGTTTTGAGGGAACTTTCTATTATTAAAAGACTAATAATGATAATTATAATTTGTAAGTTTGAGATACAGTACATTCTCATATTTTCATAATTCTCATAATTTTTCACTCTCTTTCCCTGACTTGAACATACAATACACAACAATAAACAACGTACCCTTGTTCCCTTCTCCCCAATGGCTCCAGCTGGACCCGGTGGTCCTCGGTCCCCCTGTGTGAGACAGAGACACTGTTTAAACTTTTTATCCTATTTAACCAAAAAGTGCTCAATCTCAATATGTGCTGCAGGGTAAATGATCCAAGAAAGTCGGCTATTTTCATAAATCCAGAAAAAAAAAAAGTCTATATATTGTGGTATTGATTCTTGTTCCAAAGTGTTTTTCTAAGCATTAATTCTTGCCCTTCCAGCCCTTGCTGAAGAATATAGCTCTAATTATGGGCCTCTGCACAGGTCGAGCAAAGTTGATGATGAATGACAGCCTAATGACTGAAAACAGATGCTCTTACCTTTTCACCGGGAACTCCTTCCACACCAGGTATTCCAATCAGACCAGCGGGACCCTACCAAATGAGAACATGATGGAAACTCAAATGAATTATTTGTGGATCATTCTTCTTCAATTAGAAAAGGAAAAACAAGTTCCATAGCATGATGGGGGTCATGTCAAATGTAGTTTTAGAGCATAGTATGACATTTTGAACTACTCTTTACTCCATCCACAGTCGTAGGCCACTGTTATTGTAGCCACAGCTGCCCTGAGGTAAACTGACAAAAGTGAGCTGCCTATCTGTGCCATAGGCCCTTCCTTTCACAAGCTTTCCATTATTAACACACAAGACTCAGACAATGCAATGTGAGTGAAGTGTCCTGCCTAAGTACACAATAATTCAAGATAAGATAAGAGATCCTTTATTTGTCCCACAGTGGGGGTATTTCAGTGTTGCAGTGCACATGCAGCACAGAAGTAAGAGCACACACAATATACAACATACTGTAAGTAGCTGCTATGTTTCTTAGCTAACTGTAAATGCTTCAATATCAATCTTTCAAAATATCTAATATATATAGTGTAAAATTATATACATATAAAGCAGGGTAGTAAGTAGATAAAGGGACATTCAGAAGTTGCAGTATTGCACATTATTGGAGTATTTACTTATTTACATGTATGTACAGGCTCAGCAGCAGGAATGAAAGACCTGCGAAACCTCTTTCCTTCCTGCTGCCATCAGACTGTACAATGAGAACTGCTGCTCTTAGCACTTTACCACCTCGGCCGTCCCACTGTAGCACCTGGTGTTCCCAGCGATCTCCCACCACAGACTAACCAGACCCTGCATTGATTAGCTTCTGAACTGATGAGAGCAAGCTAGTTTGTCACTATTGCCATTCTCCATTTAAAAAAAATGTCACCATCATTTCATAAATAATCACAGGATATTAAAAAGAAAGAAAACACTGTAAAATCTCTCAGTTGTAGCACAGCTAAACAGAACAGTTTTTAACCTGGATTTAAACATTGTCAGAAAGATTGTTCCAGATTTTAGCAGCATGAATCTGAAATGCAGCCTCCCCAGGTTTAGTTCTGACTCTGGGACCAGCAGGAGTCCAGTCCCTGTGCTCCTCAGAGTCCGTGATTATCAAATGATTTTGTGATTATTTGCTTTTATATTGTGCTTGTTGCATGAGGGCGACAGTGGCTCAGTTGATAGAGCATTGGCCTTTGGGCCTGAAGGTTGTGGGTTTGAGCCCACCTCAAGACCGACTCAATAACTCCCACTGATGACTGCTGTCGTTGTGTCCTTGGGCAAGACACTTAACCCCACCTTGCCTGAAGCCCCCACTGAAAGATCAAGGCTCCTGTGGACTTAGTGCAGCTCTGACTGCCACCCCCCCGACCCAGAAATGGATTAAGGGGAAGAAGATTGATGCATATGCTTTTTAATGCCTTGTACAATTTTTTATGTTTTCTTTCTTGTTTTGTAAAGCACTTTGAGTTGCCTTGTATATGAACTTTCCATGCAAACTTGCGTGACTTTAAAGGTAAAAGTATGCACAAACAACTCTAGGTCTTTCAATGCAAAATGAAGCCAGATGACATCATGACATGGAAACCTAAGACAGATTTTGACTCCCACATTAGTCAGTACAGAAAAGTGGACTGAGAGTGACATCACCCACAGTGTTTGGCCACATCAGAGATGCTTCATTGCTACTGACCAAAGTATCCGGAGAGATTCGGATTGGTCAGTTATTATTGATCATAACTTGATTTCCAAAAACATCAGAAACAAATTACGCTTCAGTTTTAACCCGGAAGAAAAATACCATTATAATCATTCTCAGAGCTTAGTTTAAATCATAGGTCAGGGTTAGTTTTAATGTCCAGGACACGTGTTTTCTCTTTGAAGGAAGTTTGTTTTTGTCTGTGAGCTGTTGACAAATGTTTTCATTTGAAATGACTGACAGAGCCATACAGAAATATTGGATTATTCATTTTGCATGAAAGATATATGTTCCACAATTGTATTCATACTACACCCTAACTACACTAACCCTACACCGGGAAACCTTATTTCTGGAGTGTTAGATTTAAATAGATGTTAAATTAGATTGACATGTCCTCTCTCATTGTTATTGGTGCTGCATGCAACATGTAGTATGTAGTAACATTAGCCCACCTCCCCCCTAACCCAGCACCAAGAAACCCTCCACCTCCACTCCCCCCTCGTCCACCACCCAACTCAGCCTGCCCCTCCCCTAACCCATCACCAAAAACCCATCCACCTTCAACCCCCCCCCGTCCAACTCCCAAGAACCACCTGCCTCTCCATCCTCTTCCCCCACCTTCCCCTTCCCCTCTTCTCTCTAAGCACTAGGATGCACAGGGTCTCTGCTTCGCAGCCACTGGCAGTCTAGTTAGAGGAGAGACCCGGCTGGGGCCCTGTCATGAAGCCACCTGTGCCATTCCTTTAGTGATAACACAAAGAATACATTACAGAAAAACATCTGAAGTTAATCAGTCTAATCAGGAAAATCTAATTCTTGTTCCGTGTAAGAATCAGCCGACCACAACCGCTGATACTGAAACTTTGAAACTTGCTATGCTAAATGTCAGATCTCTTTGTAACAAGTCTTTTTTAATCAATAATTTTATTTGTTCTTATAATCTAGATCTTATGTTCATGGCTGAAACATGGCTTGACCAAAATACAGAAAATGCAGTTTTAATAGAAGCATCACCACCAAATTTCAAATTTGAATCTGAAATACGGGGAAACAAAAAAGGAGGAGGCTTAGCTGCCATTTTCAGAGACCACTTTGTCTCCCATAGAATGTCTCTTGGGAAGTTTCCGTCTTTTGAATATGTGTCTTTTAAAATACAACAAAAACAATCTAGTCCAATACTCTTCATTGTCCTATACAAGCCACCGCAGTCATGTCACAGATTTATTGATAATTTTACGGAGTTTCTTTCAGTTTTATGCACAGATTTTGATAGCTTAGTTATTACAGGGGATTTTAATATTCATGTGGATAATGTTATTGACAGAAAGGCAAAAGAGCTGAGTTCTGTTCTTGAATCTTTTGGTCTCACTCAGCATGTGAGTGGCCCCACCCACAGCAGAGGGCACACTCTAGACCTGTTAGTTACTAAGGGGGTGAATATTTCAAATGTAAACGTGGTCGATGTTGCGCTTTCGGATCATTTTTGTGTATTTTTTGACATGTGTTTCACTAACAAACCACCAGTGGACTCTGCAACTGTACGAAGAAGACACATAAATGAAAATACGGGTGAACTATTTATGGGAATGATAAACTTTGAGAATGCATCGTATTCTACTGTAGATGAACTGTTTAACTCTGTCACCTCTAGTGTTTTGAATGTTCTGGACACCATCGCTCCTGTGAAGGTTAAAACAGTGAAAAATAAGCAGAAGGCGCCGTGGACTAAAGCAGACTCGGTCAGGGCACAAAAGAGAGAGTGCCGGAGGGCCGAGCGGAAGTGGCGCAAGTCCAACCTCCAGGTTGACTACGAGATCTTCAAAGATAAGTTGTGCGAGTTTAACCAGGTGCTACGTAGTACGAGAGAAAGGTATTTTTCTGAAATGATTGAAGGCTGCAGCAACAATCTGCGTGTTCTGTTTTCAACAGTTAATAGATTAACAAACCCCCCTGTTCAGATGCCATTAGAGCTAACTTCCAAACGTAAATAACGTAATGAGTTTGCACATTTTTTCAATGACAAGGTTCAAGGCATCAAAAACGCCATTGTCTCCAATCCACAGATAACCATCCAACAGCCTAAAAGGCTCTTTGAGCTAACTTACTTTGCACCTGTAAATGATCAAACTGTCCAAGAGATAATCTCCAGTCTGAGCGCCTCCACATGTAGCCTGGATGTACTACCCACTAGATTTCTAAAGTCTGTTCTGAGCAGTCTGTTACCTTCACTCACACAGATAGTAAACATGTCCCTTCATTCTGGAATATTCCCAAAGGCCCTGAAAACTGCAGTCATCAGGCCCCTGCTTAAAAAGAGCAGTCTAGATGCTACGGTACTTAACAACTACCGTCCCTTCTCAAATCTGCCATTTATGGGGAAAGTCCTTGAAAAAGTTGTCTACCAACAGCTAAATAGATTTCTTATAATCAACAACTCATTTGATATGTTTCAGTCCGGCTTTAGACCCCACCACAGCACTGAGACTGCTCTCGTCAAGGTTACAAACGATATCCGGCTAAACACTGACGCAGGCAAAGTCTCAATCCTAATCCTGTTAGATCTGAGTGCTGCCTTTGACACTGTCGACCATGAGATCCTCTTACAGAGACTAGAGAACTGGGTTGGCGTCGCTGGCACCGCCCTAAGTTGGTTTAGGTCTTACCTTGAAGACAGGAAGTACTTTGTGGAGATTGGAAACTGTGTCTCAGATCATATGGCCCTGACCTGTGGAGTACCACAGGGGTCGATCCTGGGACCTCTTCTTTTCAATCTCTACATGCTGCCGTTAGGTCAGTTAATACGCAGAAACGAAGTTTCCTATCATAACTATGCAGACGACACTCAGATCTATGTCTCACTGACTGCAGGAGAACATGGACCAGTGGACTCACTCCTTCACTTTATCCAACAGATCAGTGAGTGGATGCAAAACAACTTCCTTCAGCTAAACGCAGACAAAACTGAAATGATTGTCTTTGGTCCCCAGAAACAAAGAGAGAGCGTCATCTGTCATCTACAGTCTCTCTCCCTAAAACCTTCAAACAAGGTCAGAAATCTAGGGGTAATACTGGACTCAGACTTAAATTTTAATAGCCACATCAAATCAGTAACATCAGCAGCTTTTTACCATCTAAAAAACATTTCCAGGATCAAAAACATAGTGTCTAAAGCAGACTTGGAGATTCTTATCCATGCATTTGTCTCCAGTAGGTTAGACTACTGCAATGGCCTGCTCACAGGTCTGTCCAAACAGGGACTGGACTCCTGTTAGTGCCCAGAGTCAGAACTAAACATGGGGAGGCTGCTTTTCAGATTCATGCTGCTAAAATCTGGAACATTCTTCCTGAAGATGTGAGACAGGCCTCCTCTCTGACAATGTTTAAAACCAAGTTAAAAACTGTGCTGTTTAGCTGTGCATACAACTGAGGGATTTTATATTTTTTATCTTTCTTTTTAATGTTCTGTGATTATTTATGATTTTAATGCTATCTTGTTCAGCACTTTGAGTTGCCTTGTGTATGAATTGTGCTATACAAATAAACATGCCTTGCCTTGCCTTGCCTAGTAGCAACAATACTAATAATGTTATTTTAACATTCACATTATTTTCTTCTTCCCATTCCTTTTTGAGCCAAATCCTTTTTTAATAATAATATATCTTGTACAGATTCTCCCTGAACCTTTATCGTTTTGTTCTTCGTTCCTTGCTGCCCATGTGTGTGTGGGTGCAGTGCTATTTGTATGGCGCAGAATGTTATATTTTTGTATGGCTAAAAATAAAGTATTCAAACTCAAAATGATTTTATCAATACATCAATAAACTTTCATCTTACTTGTGGACCAACTTTTCCGCCATTTCCCAGGTCTCCTTTTTCTCCCTAGAAGAAAAAACAAGCCTAATGGTAATCTTTGATAGTTTAAATTGGAATTTTCAGTAATTTATTGATTTACAATAAACCTGCTCATCTGCATTATTAGTAAATTATTAGATTATTACTAAATTATCAGATTATTAATAAATTATCAGATTATTACTAAATTATCACATTATTACCAAATTATCACATTATTACTAAGTTATCAGAAACATGTCTGTCTTTCTTTGATAATGAGGAGAGGAGTTGATACCATCAGGCCGTCCGGGCCAGGCTCCCCGATGTGCCCTTTTCTTCCAGGTCTTCCCTAAAAGAACAGTGAAATATGGGTGTATGAGTTCAATGTCATGTTTTGTACATAGTATATTGTGAATCTTACATTTGGGCCGGTGTTGCCAGGTGGGCCAAGTGGTCCTTCGTCACCCTGCCAAAAATGTATTTTAATAAAGACAAAGCAAAAAATGATATAGCATAGTAACATTTCCACCAGTAAAGTTATTAACATACATTCAAAGCAATTAACATCATGATTGATAAGTTACAATGTTCACCTCACTTCCTTTTGGTCCAAGTGGTCCCTGTGGTCCTCTGGAGCCTTGTAAACCCTAACACATATCAAAGAATCAATTGAGTCCATTTCCTAAAACACACAAAACATTTGAACTACCTTTGGTCCAGGTGGTCCATTTGGCCCTGGTATTCCAATGTCCCCAGGAAAACCCTGGACAAAAGATATATAGAGATGATTACTCTGTCTTTGTTGGCCTTAACTTAGAAACATTCAAACAAACAACCTTCAAATCTGTTGGTATCAGTATTTGAATTGAACATCAGCCTCACCCTCCGCTAAAGAACCTTGGGTAAAGATTGAAAGGACAAGGTACAAATGGTCCACATGAGTTTTCTCCAGCCAGCCAGTCTCTGAGTAACCAGCCTGGCTGGTCACTCGGAAAAAGGGTGAGGAGATCAGTTGCACCGGAGGAGCTCAGAGTAGAGCTGCTGCTCCTGCTCATCAAGAGTATCCAGTTGTGGGCCTGGAATCTGTTTCGGGTGTGTCCTACACTCCTCCCTGGGGAGTTGGAACCTGGACATATCCCACTAGGGAAGACCCAGGACACGCTGGAGGGACTGTCTCTCAGCTGGCCTGTGAACGCCTCAGGATTCTCCCGGAGGACCAGGAGGAAGTGTGCATGGATATAGGGCATCTCTGCTTTGACTACTTACTTCGACCACACCACAGATACAACATAATTATAGAATAATACTATCGACACTTGAATTATACTAAACAAATCCAAATTCAAATAGCCGCATACCTCTGGTCCAGGTGGGCCAGGAGTTCCTTGTGCACCAATATCACCAACTGGACCCTGTAAATAATAATACAAGAAGTAGAATAGTCGTTGACACGGAGCGGTTCAGTCAGCCAAGAATGCTTCTCATCACAGCAGACTAAAAAAACACTCCAGGAGAACTAAAGCGCTTGACTAGAACATTTAAGGGGCAGAAGCAGAAGCACCACTTTATATTTCTTTACAGATTTTGGTTACACACATGTGACTTTTTGAATGTAGGGGTAATTGTGAGTATTTGGTGGCATCCCTGCTAACAAAGAAATTGCTTAAGTTTATATTTATCGGTTTATCAAAGCATTAGATTGAATATGTTGTTTGTTTCAATCATAATCATGTTTATGCTTTTTAAGAAATAAATACTTACAGGAAGTCCTGGTTTCCCCTTTGGACCAGCAGGACCAGGTGCACCGATATTTCCCTTTAAAATAATATAAAAAAACAAATATGTAAGCGAAGAAATATTGTTTAAACATACATTTATTTTACAAAAGACACACCTTGTCACCTTGGTACCCCATCTCTCCTGGTTCGCCCTTTAGTCCCACTTCACCCTAAGTTTTGTAGCATCATAAAAGACAGGTATAATACAATGCTAATCAGGTACACACTTTTAAAGTTACAAACAGCTGAGACAACCTAATAAATGTAACCTTGCTCTAAAGTCAAATTGCAGCTATTGGCACAAACAAATACACGCCGATAATACAAATATTTAGATCACCTTATCACCTTTCAATCCAGGCAAGCCGTTTTTTCCAACTGGGCCCTACCAACAACAACAAGATTTTATTTGTATCTCATATTTAGAGGAAAAATCAACTCACAAAGCAAAAAGAGGCTTACCTGCGTTCCCACCAGTCCAGGCAATCCTCGTAGCCCTTCTGGTCCTGGATCCCCCTAGAGACAGCAAAGATGGACGACAAAGAGGATCCCAATTGTAGTCGGTTTATCAAGGAATGAGAATTATTGGCAATGACTAAATCTGCTAAAAAGTACTGCAAACAAAGTCATAACAAAATATGTCTTTTTTTTTTTTTACAACAGTGCTACACCTCAACCACTCATCCTCATTAAACGCAGACACACTTCCTGATGCCAGTGTCCATAAGTCAGCAACAGATGCTCCTCACCCTTAGCCCGGCAAAACCAGGAATGCCAGTCCCACCAACAGGGCCCTGAAAAAAACAAAATGTATTCAGTATCCACGAAACATTACTATACTTAGATGGTCACTACAATTCTTGATCTTTTCAGAATAAGAATCATTTATTTATGACCACGCAACAAGTTAGTTGAATTTGTCTCCGGTACGGCAGGAATGCTCAGCTCAACTGTGCGACAAACAAAGACACACAAAAATAAACATACAAGAACAACAACAGGGATTGGCTGAGAGACCAAATGGCAGTGGAAAAGAAGTTGTTTTTGAGGCGAACTGATTAGCCAAAGAAGGACCTCTAGCGCCAGGAGGGCAAGAGTGGGAACAGATGAAGGGCTGTGTGTGTTTTTGTTTGTTAATTAATTATAGGTTTGTAATTTATGGTCTAACCTCATTTCCATCAGGACCAGGAGGGCCCCTATCGCCCGGGTCACCCATCACTCCCTGCAATCATAAGCATTTTGTTTAATTTTATGTAGGTATTGTGGATGAAAAAAAGCACAAATAAAGTGTTGTTTATTTATCTGTCCGCAGCATCATAGCACAATCTCTCACCTGCCTTCCTTTCAGACCAGGTTTTCCAGCCGGACCAGAGGCACCCTACACAACCCAGATCATCGTAAATATGTGTTCATGTACATTCAGGTTTACAATATTAAAGCATTGTTATATGAACTGCTGGTAACATACTCTCTCTCCTTCCAACCCAGGTGGCCCAGGAACACCAGGAAGTCCAATAAAACCCTGGAAATCAAGAGGCAAAAAAATAAAATAAGAAACCTTAATCCATCTCTAGCTTTAATATCAATAATATAAAATGAATACAAAAACATCCAGGAGTTAAGCTTTGCACAACACTGACATCTGGTGGTGAAGTTGCAGACTTCAACATATTGCAGAGCCAAGACACAGTGAATGAATTTAGAAAGAAAATGCTACTTCTCAACAAATAAAACCATCTCTCATACTAAAGTATATAATTTATCATTACCATAGGTAACATTGTACTCATTCATGATAACATGAAAAACATCACAAACATGAAAAGATATATAACTTATGAAGTAAATAATCAACTTATCAGTAAAGTTGGGATTCCTGATTTTCAAACCACAAAAGCTATGTCCTAACTCTCAACAGAGTTTGGATCCATCATTAGTTTCCAAATGGATGCATTTCTTTAGGCATATGAAACATCCTTAGATCCCCTTTTTAATATCAAATAGTGTAAAATAGACAATCACCTTCACACATCCAATCAGCTTTCAGCCCAAAGTGTCAAACAGTGACTCACAGGGATCTTTCTAAAGATGGCGACAGCATGTTGTGCTCGGATTGTACTTTAGCAAGTTTGGTTCTCTAGCTTTAATACTCAGTAAGAACAGGGTAAGATAGTAACTCCAGATACTCTTTCTGTAATAAGTCCAATTGATTATGAAGTATTTTATATTTGACTTAACCCAAATTACAAAATATGCAGTTGTTTAAAATAACCTTGCATTTCTAAATAATACTTACACGGATACCCTTGGGGCCTGGGTTACCTTCAGGTCCAGCCGAGCCCTGCAATTACAACAATAAAACATTATTAAGAACCTAAATGAAGTATTCAAACATAAACAACTATTACAAATGTCATTCAAAATACAGTTCCAATTGCCAAGAATGAAGTTAAAGTAATCTGGGAACAAAGTCTATGATTTTTGCATTTTCACTGCACCTGCCTGCCAGGGTAACCTGCCGCCCCAGCTTCTCCAGGAGGTCCTGGCAATCCCTAAAGCGTGGACAGAGAGGAGAATGAATGAACAAAGCATGAATATTAGATGGATGGATAAGGTGAAAGGAGAGAATCACAGAGCTCTGTTGGCCATTGCCAACAGACGAATAACACAAGCACTGTTCAGTGAGAAACCTCCACTAAGCTATGTCTATGAACAATATCCCTTTGCACTCAGATAAGGTTCCTCTTTGACAGGGAAAATACAATACAGTAAATACACCATATATTAAGCCCTCTTGGCGCTGAAGAGGGAGAATCTATGAATAAGTAAACAATTAATTCCTGTCATAATTACTTACTTGCTCGCCTTGAAGCCCAGGTGGCCCGTGATAACCTTTGGCGCCCTTCAAACATAAATAGAAAATGTTGGAGAGCATGTTCTTTATACAGAGAGAAAAGTAATTACACCAAACATAGACTCTGAACCAATTGCTCTTATGTCGTTACACTGACAATCGACAACAGATGTTGACAGCTCCACAAGGTCAGAGCCAGGTCAGAGTCTCTCTGTTTCAGAGAAACTCAATTGAATGGTCCCATTGACTTTGTCATGTGTTTCCGAAGTCATGACACATGAAGCCTCACTTGGGGGTGAGGAGCACAGGCCCCTGGCCACTCATTTCCTCTGAAAATACTTAGAGGCGCACAGTTTATGCTCTGGGTATATTGGTTTCAGCTACTGCAAACACTGAGATGGCCTCCTGGGAAAAAAGGTGAAGGCCAGTGTTGCAGAGACCAGACTCTGGACCTCATTTAGACAACTGTGACACCTACAAAGGGACTTGTGTGATAATGGTATTGCGGCGCTGTCATGATTTAAATAGCATAAGACGCAAAATAAGATCATAACACTATCCAATCACCAGCACTGAATGTAGTCTTCTCATGTCCAATAACATGGAGGACTTAAAGGCATTCTTCATTGGCATGTGGTGATATGTGGTGTCACAGGATACTGGGAATGTCATTGATGCCTTGAGCCTGTGCAGGGGTCCCTTCCTATCGTCACAAGACCTTTGACATTGTCATCAAAAGAGTAAACAAAAAAAACTTGGGCCTTAAAAAGTTAGACAATATGTCATTATGTTCTAGCTAGTGCTCAAGCTAATGTATCTAATGCAAGTGAGTTTAGAAAATGTTAAACTGGATCAAAGTAATTATGATAGAAACAAGATAATCTTACAGGTAGTCCAGGAAATCCGCTTGGACCAGGAAGCCCCGGCGGCCCTTGGTCACCCTGTGTAAAAGACATTTGAAAACACAATTAAACAACACTTCAGAAGCTCCAGCTTTCTTCATACAAATCCAGTTGAATGTCTCCTGCTTGAATAAAAAAGTGTTGGAAATATTTAAGAAAATCACCTTTTCTCCAGGTGATGCTTGGCCTGGTGAGAGCCCAGGATCTCCCTTTGAACCCTATAAGAATAACAAAACTGTAATGTATTTTCTATTACTAGCATGTGCAAACTACAGAAGTTACCAAACGCTTGAATACAAAACCTTAACATCTCCATTGGGGCCAGAACCACAGATTCAAAAGCCACAGCTCTACTTAATCAATCAATATTGTTGCAATATCCAACTTCAAACCCAAACAGAAGCTCACTCACTTTTAGTCCAGCTGATCCTGGTGGCCCTGGTTTTCCATGTGGACCAGTGGGACCCTGACACAAGTACACACGACATTACACACAACATAAACTCAACAAAGACACATTTGACTGAAAAAGGTATTCGTTTTGTAATGAACTTGATAACAGTCAACATTTCATATTATTCTGGTCTGACCAGACTGTAAACTAGACTATTACCCTTCATTTAACAATTTACTAAATGACTCCATGAATGAGAAAATTCTCTTCTGAGGAGCACTAGATCTTCTTTTCAACTTAATCTTTTAATGATTCCAAATCTTTTAGTTGTATTTATGTTTGTTTTAGACCTGTTCACCACCTCATGTTACCCTCTTTGGGTATTTCAGATGCATTTCTATAAAAGCACAAATGATCAGGGTTGAAAGAATAATTTGCGGTTACTTACTCGAGGACCTCTTTTCCCTGCAGGACCAGGTAAACCCGGGGGACCTTCAGGACCCTGGATTAGTGAGATAATAGGTTATAGGAAAGAGAAGGGAGCATTGTGAAAGAAGCGTGTAGAGGGGAGGGGAAAAGATAAAGTATGTTAATGGCAAGCAATAACATGCACAAGACTGTCCGGGCTCCTGCATCGATGAGAATGTGAGATTTCTATGTAGGATCTGTGACAGAAGGAAATGGTTTCCTATTTAACTCGTGATAAATAATTATGATGAAACATAGTCAGATTGACTCAATGAAAACTGCAAAGTAGCATAATGAAACAGCATTTAGTCTTTTTTGGTGCATTCTATCTGTCTATATAAAAACATAATGTTGTTGTCAAAAGCTGTAGTTTCTAACCATGGGTCCTGAAAAATTCTCAAGAAATAGTTGATACATGTTGCTTGTAATAATGAACTCTTTATTGTCTTAAGGTAGAAAATATGTTATTATAAGACAGTAGTACATAGGGTAGAGCTGGGTCACCATTGTATCTATGGGTAAATGAATGAGATACAATTGAATAAATATCAACTAGAATGATCAAAATATAAGACCTTTATAACATGTAGATGTTTACATACAACTACATATTTATTGTACTAGAACAAACAGTACTTCATACTTGCTTCTTATTATGGCAAAAGTAGAGATTTTATGCTTATTTGTTATACTAAAGATAGATACCGACAGTAGCTCAGTTGGTAGAGCATTGGCCTTAAGGCTAGAAGGTCGTGGGTTCATTCCCACCTCTACACCTTCTCCACCGACTCCCACTGATGACTGCTGTCGTTGTGTCCTTGGGCAAGACACTTAACCCCACTTTGCCCAAAAGCCCCCACTGAAAGATCAAGGCTATGCTCAGAGAGCAGCCGTCCTCCTGTGGACTCACCACCTGCAGAGGGTCAGTGAGGGGCTGGTGCTATGAGACTTGGGTGGCATCTCTGATTGCCACCCCCCTAACCCAGAAATGGATTAAAGGGTAGAAAATGGATGGATGGATGGAAGATAGATATTTTCTACTGCTTGTTTTTATGTTAGAGTTAGACATTTTTATTTTTATTTTATTTTATTTAGTATAGAGTTATTGTTCATTTGTTGCTACTCATTCCTACTGTTCTGTAACTGGTGATGCAACTCATTGTGGGATGAATAAAGGATCCCTTAATCTCTTAATCTTAAAGCAAAATAAGCCTTTTTTAATGTTAATTTTAATGTATAGGACCATATGTTGTCAGTGTGCAACATCATGTTGTCATTGTGCAACGCATGGACAATATACTCCACAAAGGTATAATTATTGTAATTGAATATACCATTCATAAATTGGAAAGAAAGCATGCATAACAGCATTCTGCTCTTGTAAACCATCTTGTCATGAGATCAGCAGGTGGCTGTGTGTGGCGTTCTGGAATACCCCATTGATCAAAATGTCAAAGCAGCAAAATGTGGAAAACAGAGGAAAGAAACAGTTGTTTGTTCCTGTTGCCTCCCACACAGACACATGGAAACTTTGACCACATTAGCGCCTCCAGCACAGAGCCGTGTCCATAAGACACAGAGCTCTGCAAAACTCAAATGTCAAGAAGATTCCTTTATTCATCACAAATGGGTTTTAGGATGTAATGGCAATGTCATTACTACAAACTTTAAAAACAGATTGATAGTTGACCCCCATCCCAGGATCTTCTTTCTGGGAGGCTCTAGATTTAATGCTTATGGTGTATAAATATGTACAAAAAGGAGGTTAAGTAGGTCTGGGGTCTGAAACTCCTAACCCAGAACTGATAGAAAAATTGCACGTTTTCATTCCAACCAAGCAGGAACGCACCAGACATTTCATCAAGTCTTTGCAGTTCTGACTGGACACAAACCTTTCTAAAATGAACACCCCTGCAGTAGAATATCACTAGAAGAAAGTAGCAATACTGTTTAGTCAAAAAACCCAATTTAGAACAGGAATCAGGAAAGATGGAAAGACAGCCTGTACAAATGTAACACTAAAATTTAGGGTTTCCCCTTTAGAAAATCAGATGTTTCTTTTTCAGGGACATGGGACACCTACCTGTACAAAAAGGGGGAGGGGAATGGGCTTGTGAGTAGGATGACATGTTAGTCTAACAACCTGCACGTACTTGAAACTGAACAGCACTTGCACATGTCATCACCTTTAGATTTATACCACACCCTGCTTTTTCTTTGCATTCTGCTGTATTGTGACAGCTAAAATAAAGGGGTCTATACACTTTCAACTGAGGTCACACTGGTCACTCAATAGCAATTAGACAAGATTAATGAACTATTTTATTACTCACTGGTGGACCCTGCTCTCCCTTGGCGCCAAAGAAGTCGTCATCATAAACATACAGGTCCTCGCCGTCCTCATAGCCATAGTCGTATCCGCCCACGTCAGTGCTGTCATAGCTGCCGTCCGGGTATTGCTGCTCGATGCTGTCCCCATGATTCTGCCGATACAGAGTTGTGCCGTTGGCTTTCGGCTGCAAAAGATGAGTCTGGGCGTGTCGTGTTTTCTGAGGACTGATGGTGGATGTGTTCCTTAGTGAATCCATCTGTTTATCTTGTTTGGTCATTTCAAATGATACTGGTGTTGTCTGTGGGCCAAATATGTGCTGTTTCACCATACTGTTCTCTGCTTGATCAGCCATGGCTGAAGATTTTGTTCTTTTACTCAATATGCTCATTGTAGAGACTGCAGTGGTGCGTTGAGTTGAATGCCTCATGTCCAGTTTACTTGATGGAGCTAATGTTGCAGGATGTGAAGAAGATTGAAAGAAGGTATCAGGTAAAAATGCTTCTGATGTTGGTGGTCCTGATGATGCGAGGGAGTCTGGACTTTCACTTACTCCCTCAGTGGTCACAGTTTGTGACAAGGAGTCATAACCCACTGAATCCAAAACAGAAGGAGGTGAGTCTGATCGGTAAGTGTCGGCCAGCCGACACTGTTTTTTAAGGTAGTTGCAGTAGTTTGCTGCTGCTTGTGCCGATGGATACAAGTCTAGTTGGCAGACACGGCCATTAAACGGCACCGCTTTGTAGCTCATTCTACCCAAAGTGAAAACAGACCCAGAACCCCCCAGTGTCTGAGCTCTGCCAAGGGTCTGCTCCTGCTGCTGCACTGTCCCACAAAATGCATAAAAGGACACGGAGTGTGTGCGGACACCAATGGCAAAGGAGTGGAGGTTCACGACCTGCCAGTTATAGCTGAAGTATATGGGGGCCTTATCAGTGTGCACCACCACTCGATGAGGCAGAAGTTGAATGCCAAAACGCAACCTGTCCGTGCCATCTCTAATACTAAAAACAAAAGCATTGTTAGCTCTCCAGGAGCTTAAACTTACAACAAAAGAAAACTCGTCTTTCATCTCAGGCAACAAAGTGCCTGCAGCAGCCTCATAAAAGGAGTCTGAGTTGAGTAATACACCATATTCTGAGACAGGAATAGCTGGAGGGGCAGAGGTTAGTTTGACTGCAGAGCCGCGTCCCTGTTCGACATAATCTGTGCTTCTCTGACCAGTGAGCCCGAGCCGATGGAGAACATCCACACCTAAAAGACAAAACACATATCATTATTAATCATCAACGAGGAGGAAAGAAGTTGTGCTCTTATCTTCAATGGTATGTTATAGTTAATTTATAATTCCTTTATACCCCCTTTTTGATGTTCCAGGCCAGAACAAGCCCTACTTGTTGATCTGAAGAGGCAGCTGTGGCCCATATGACTTTTGGAGACGAGTATCACAGAGAACACACCGCCATGTTGAACCAATTGGTTGAAGAGACTCCAGCAGCTCCTCTTCAGAGAATCCTGTCATTCTTTCTAATGCCTACAGGTATGTTTTTTTCCTAAGGATTTATGTAAGGTCTGCTGACAGTGAAGCTATGCAGAAAAGCAAAGTCAAAGTGAATACACTATAGGCAATGCTCTGACGATTTGACTTGTTATCAAGTAGGCAAATGACAGATCATGACAACCTGAGGCCATTGTGTCCAGAACCAAAACACCAGCAAGTATTAATTAGAACGCCACCTGGATACCAGAATTAAACTGTGACAAAACAAATTATATGTATTTACAGTTTAAAAACACATTGACTGTACAATCTAACTTTCTAATTGGTTGAGCAGATATTGGTTGGATTGATCAATATTATATTGGTCAGAATTAGGCATTTGTTGACGTTATGACCAAAATGTACTGGCTGAAAATGCTGCCATAGTATCTGCATACTATTCACCGTGACAACTTCAATATCTATTGTGGTGCCACCTGCATGTGAAAGGTTGCTATGACTGGTTGTTTAGTACTGTGGTGAGAGTCCTCTGCCACATCAAATTTTGGTCATAATGGCCAAATTTCCTTGATTGGTGGTATGATTGGTTGTAAACGCACCCCTTTGTCGATTAGATTAAATTCACTAGTTGTTAGTTCAATAGATAAGATATTCGTCCCACAGTGGGGAAATGTCAATGTTGCAGTGCGCACACAGGACAGTAGAAAGATCACACAGGGAGCACACAAATGTACAAAATAAGTAGCTGCTATGTTTCTAAGCTAGGTTACACCAGATAGATAACACCAGTTTTTGTTTTTAGAGTGTAGGTTTTTCAGTAGATGAAAAGTCAGAAGGGCATTGAAAGTTTTGTCACAAAGTATATACAGTATTTACATCAAGCAGTTCATCTTTTACATTTCTCATCCAAATAAGAAAAGAGTGGTCACATCTTGATTTTGCAGCAGCGCACATACAGGACAGTAGTGAGGGCACACAAGGAGCACACAAAAATATACAGAGATGAGTAAATGCTTCTTAACTAGCTTCAAATGTGTCACAAGAGCAGAAAGTAAATATCAATATATAAATAAACTTCACTTTATTTATCTATATAGATTTATAGATAAATAAAGTAGATAAATAAGTGATGACTTGCCGTCATTGCCTGAGGAAACATCACCTGTATTCCAATTACGTCTGATGTGTAAAGACAGGTCACTCATCTATAGTTAAGTTATGTTCAATTCCAAAAGAACATTTTCCTTAACCAAACAATGTTAAAGGTTAATATGGGCAATGTGTACATTTATCAAGAAAACCATGTTATTTATTAATTTAATTATTATGCTTTTTTATACTTGGCAAAGGTTTAAAGCAGACGAGTGCAAGTTGGCTTCATCATTTAGAATAAAATTAATGATTGGAGTGAGATGAAAAAAGAAACAGCAAGGACTTAAAATAGAAAGTTTATCAGCAGTTCATACTCACTATTTTCTATGAGTGTTCTACTCATTTTGGTCAGGGACCATATTCAATAAGTACTAGTTAGTCAGGGGCCGAAACTAATAATATTTCAAATGGAAAGTACGAAAAGATGAAAATAGCATGCTGTGATCTGATTTGTTCTCAAAATTTCACTTTGTTTTTGAACAAACAAAATGTATAAAAGTGTAAAACTCACCACCCTATAAAACATTAAGAAAACATTCTCTGATTATTCCGTTGTGCTCCCCTTTGTCCCCAAGTCCCACAATGGAAAATAAAGGAAAAATCCCTGTTTTTGGCTTTTTTCAGAAACATGTGTGGAGGACAAGAACAGACTTGTCATAAGATAGGTTAAAAAGGAGCCAAGAAATGTGCCTGCTCACAGCTGCTTTCATGTGTGACACATCTATCAAAAGATGCTCCAAACTAACTCCTGACTCTGATACACACTAAGGTTGTGTTGTGTTGTGTTGTGCTGTAGTGTGTTGTGTGTTGTGTCAAGCTAACTTTGTGCAATGTAGTCTTCTTGTCCAGGGAGTACCGCAGAGCATACTGACAGGAGCAGGAGAAGGTTCCACCTGCAGACAATAGATAAGACATTAGAGAAGTAGTGCGACTGAATATCAGCAGTGAAATAGATTGCTTCATAAATTAATAATAGTAAAATTACATTCATCAAATAGGGAAGCATGTGATGTTGACAGATGGAATGCAGTGATGCAACTGTGGTATTATACATTGTTATGAGGAACACAAATCAAAGCTCTATTATAACAAATCCATACGTTCCTACTCCCACCAAAAGGTTATTCCATGTTCCATAACTGGGCTCACACCTGATAGATGTTATAGTGAGTGTGTGAATTCACAGATATGGTTGAAATAGGATAAAGGTGACTAAGCACAAGTAAACAACTAACATACACAATTGCAATACCACTTAGGAAGGAAATATATCGCAATGATTCCTGTTCTGCACGCATTTTCAAAATAGTAATATGTCTAGTAATAATAGTAGTAGTAATATATCTTTTAAATAGGTGTGGGATTGTTCCAAACAAAAATTCTGACATAAATGGTTTCTACTGCTGTCATCAGATTGTTTATTTTTATGAATAATACATTTTAAAATGGGCCAACATGAGTGTATACACACATGCTGTTATGTGATTAAAGCTGCCAAGTAAATATTTCCACTGTACCTCAATAATTTTATCTTTATTATCGTAAGATAAGATAGATCATGGAAACTTCAATGTTGAACACATCATAAAGAACAGATCCTGTTATGTACACTAGAGCAGTTCAGGGGTACGGACATTTACATTTACAGCAGTGACTATGAATTAGCATGTATTATTAAATGTTGCTAATGCTGTATTAGCAACATGGGAATATGGTCAGAATAAACAGCCGATTAAGCCGACATCATGATACGTTTTGTAGCATATACCTAACAGAAATATGCTTCCACATTAATAGGTGCATGTGTGGATTTTGATACATGGGCTTTCTTGTTGTTACAGTGTGACCCTAATTGACCCACCTCTAGGTGGCACTACCGACCATAATCAAGAACTGCAACAGAGCATGCACAAGACAATCTCACCAATCTGTGTGCTGAGGGTTTTCTGGGTCATTGATAGAAAAGATGTTTGATATATAAAAATAAAAATAATACATATTGATGATAATTGAAAACATGGTCATTAAATTAAAAGCCTGGCCTCACATGTATACCACACAAGATGTTTCTGTTGTTAAGTTGTAACTGAAAAAGCACAGCATGGCTAAGCACTGATACTCTATGAAGGCAAAGCAGCTGTAACAGTAGCCTAACTTATGTGGTGCCTGTGCTTACATAAGACCACCTAAGTTATGTTATGTGTTATTCTATCATGACAAACGCTGGCAAAGGCAATGCTTTTCAAAGAGCTCTGTGAAGATCAGTGTCTCTGATATAATTCAATTGAAGAAACAGACTGACCCCTGGGTATTTTTTCACCCAAACACAAGTCTCAACTATGAGACGACTTGACACTAGCATTGAAGACGAGACAGTCCACCCACAATTTATTACGAGTTCTTTTTAATTTTAATTTTAAGATTTGTATTCCAAAGATATTTGTACCACATGTCATGTTTTTTTTTCAGAATAGATTTCAAACAGAAATGTATAAAATAAATGATGTGTCTTGTCTTCATATTTACTACGTCAAGACTGTAACAAGTTACAAAGTATTTTTATTAAAAAAAAAAAAAAACCCCAAAGCATCTCTATGCAGAGGTTCTCAAGGGGCATCACTTGAGTATGTATGTATGTATGTGTGTAACTATAGAAAGACACCAGGGACTAAGCTAAGTAAAGAAATGTAGGAACAGGGGGTGGGTACGTTTTCTTCTTCCCACCCCTTTTTGAGCTAAACCCTTTTTTTGAATAATAATATCTGTAGTACAGATTCTCCCTGTACCTTTGTTGCCCTTGTGTGTGGGTACCGTGCTTTCTGTAGGGCGCAGAATGAGGCTCAAAATAAAGTATTCAAATCCAAATTCAAATCGATGACTTAAAAGAATAAACAGCAAACTCAACAAAATTATCTTAAAGCCCTAGTATTGGGAATACACCGATCGGTACCAATATTGGAAATATTATTGGATTATAGCAATAGTGTGAACTTTCACTCAAACCATGTTGCTCTGCAGAAACTAGCAAGATAATAGTAAAAAGTACATATGGTGTAATAATTTAGCTGTGATTTGAGGGTTGTTCAGCCTCCTCCAATCAGCAGATATTTAAAGCAACAGTATCGGATGTAAAAAAATGGATTGGTGCATGCAGCATATTTATTTATTTAGTCTCAACAACACCAATACCTGTTCAATAAGATAATTGCTTTATTGATCTCACAATGGAGAGATATACATGTTACATTTGGCTTCAATAAGATCACTCAGGGTGTGCAAATGTGCAAACAACAAGAAATGTGCAAACGTTTTAAAACAGTAAAAGAAAAGACAAAGGATACCTTACCAGAGTACTATTCTAGGATACCTACATGATTTTGTTTGTATTTTTATATCTGAATCTCTTTTCATTAGTATCT